TCCAGCAGTGCTTGGACAGCAAATTATTTGCAGAGCTACAGATTTCCAGGCCGCCTCGTTGGCCTTCCTGCCTGTCTGTCTGTGTGTGTGTGTGTGTGTGTGTGTGTGTGTGTGTGTGTGTGTGTGTGCACGCGCACACATGAGACATATTATACGTGTGTCTCTGTGTTCAGGTGTGTAGGAGTGTCAAACACATACACACGTGTATCCATGCTTGTCTGTATTTTGCAGGCTTGAACTGCATCATATATGCTGACGTGTGTGTGCCTGTGTGTGCGTGTGTGTGCCTGTGTGTGTGTGTGTGTGTGTGTGTGTGTGTGTGTTTGTGCATGTACTTACACTTCTGGGTTATTTTTACTCCTCTATTTAAAATCTGCTGGGGGATGCAGAAGCACAGGAAGTGAGTGTCGTCTCACTTTTCCTCCAGCGAGCTTCATTTCTCCTCCACAACCCATCCGTCCTGCTGCACTACTACTGTCTGCCATCCTCCTCTCCCATGATGCATCAGTCTTTCCTCCCAGACACAGTAACACCAGGCGCATTTCAGCCACATTTATTAGTCATCCATCGAAGGCGTGACCCCTTAAAGCTGTAGTTGGGAACTTTATAACTTTGTCTGTCACTAAACCCACACAGTCGCACATGAGACAGACAATCTGTGAAAAAAAGAACAGGAGGAAAGAAAACTATCTTAGTGTACTGTTCAGCTGTAACATGAGAGCGTTTGTGACCCCGGCTGCCTTGTGGACAACCGTTAAACCCCAACGTAGCGTGGCTTAACGACCGGAGCAAACTTTCTCATTTTACAGCTAAACACTAAAATGTTTCTGAAAACATTTGAGGTGAGAAATAGGCAATGCAGCAACAGAATCCTGTTCATATTTGATCAGCGCTGTCTAATTTGACAGTTTGACAGCAGTTCACGCGCAGTGATTGACAGCTGCATTAGAGACTCCATGACTCTGATTGGTTGTTTTCGTTCAGCCGCAGTGGATTCTTACAAATGCCATTAGAAGTTTTTTCACAGACTATCTGTGTCATGTTCTACTGTGTGAATTAGGGATGCACAATATTGGACTTTTTGCCGATGTCTGATATGCTGATAGATAACTTATTTGGCGATAACCAATACTGATATTGATATATCCACTTTTTCCCCACCTGATTTTAGTGATCATCATGTCTCTTCTGTAGTGGAATTAGCATCATATTATTCATGCATACTCTTATTGTGACGGCCCACCAGCAGATGGAGACATGAAATACAATACTTATCAATGTATAATATTTATTTATCATAAAAAATAAGAAAAGGCATTTTGGCCGATTCATGTATCAGCTTATACAGATGACATCAGTGGCGGCTGCTGGTCTTTCAAGGAGGGGAAGCTCATTTTCGGCCTACATCATAAAATGTGTCTGTTTATTTATACGTAAATTCTACCCTCTGGGGCTGCTGCGCGAGGCTAGTGTGACCGCTTGTGAGTGCTTTGGGACGGTGGAGGGGCTCACAGCAGCACTCACTGCTCGTTGGGGACAGTAACTGCAGAGCGACAGAAGTCAGAGTCTCCAAACACGAGTGCAGTCTCCAATAACACCAGAACAAGATGCTAGATTTGTCGCTAGTCGTTTTTAACAAAGAAAAAGTCACTAAGAGGATTGGAAAAGTCTCCAGATCAACTCGGAACAACGGAATGAAACTTGAAAAATGCTCTGGTGGTGGTTTATATTTCAACATCGCTGATTCGCTCATTTCGCTGTCAATCAAAAAGGGATTCAGCCTCAGACAGATCATCCAATCATCATGCAGAAGCCCAGCGTCCAGGCCAGCCGAGGCCAGCCCACTGCCCCATAGACCCCCAGAGACGCTGAGCGCCCAATGGGCGGGACAAAACCAAGCATATCCAATGACTGTCTAGTTTCACTGCAGTGGAACAACCCACTCTATGCTTCCCCATAAAGGTTCTTTTAAAACAAAATTTAGTTGAATAACTTGTAGCACATGGGGTGGCACGGCGGTGCAGTGGTTAGCATTGAAAAAAATAATCTTACCTTATACGTATAACTAGTTTGTTTTGACGTCATGCCCTCTTCATTTTAGCCATTTGTTTGCTTCCCTGACTTCCATTTCTCTCTTCCTGCGCTGAGCTGAACAGCCAATCAGAGTGATTTTATTCACTGGCACCGCCATCTCAGACGCCAATTAGTGAATAAACGCTGAATTGGCCAGAGGAAAGTCAACAAGATCCAACAAGGGCTAACGGTGCAGAACACACCAAAGGGTGACAGACGCTCACCAACAGATCAACGCTGAACAACAGCCAACCGTCACCTTGGTGTGTCAGGGCCTTCAGGAAACAGATGTACTTCCATTAGAACCAACACCAGTCACACACCTGGAAGTACAAACAAAGACTGCTCGTCACTTGTGCCGGGTTCACACTATACGATATCAGTTCGATTACAGCCCGACGCAGTGCTGTACGGCATCAGCTCAGATCATGAACAACAATGAGTGTCATACGTGATAATCCATCCTTTTATCTCATGTAGTGTGTCATAGCAGACGACAACCAACGCCACGTCTGTGACACCTCATGCGGTTCAGATAGAAAGTCTAGCATGTTTGATTTTCTCTTTGTCATTCATGTCTTCTCTCTCTATCTGTTCAAAATTAAAAGCCCATTTTAATTTTGGTTGAGAGAATCTAATAAAATATCAATACATTTTCTTTAATTGTGAAACATTTGCAGGAACTTGTGGAGGATACAGTGACTTGCATTGCTTGCATGCGGTACTTCAAATGTAGCTCCTGCCATCTGCTGGCACTTTTTACTTGACTACGATAACATTTCTGCTGCCACAAGACCAGACACAGTGACTGAAATAATAAAAATAACAAAAATAATCTGATGACATCATGCATGTCGTGAAAGACGAGCAGAGATGATTGGTGTGGACCATCGTGTAGTGTGTCATGTCTGTCGGCCAAGTCACGGCACGATTTCATGACTCCACAATTGCCTAATCTGACAAAGTGACTGTTGGAACCGACAAAAATGTGTAGTCTGAACCAGGCATTAGACACACACATGATGCTGTATTATTCATTGGTGATAGCTTTTCTAATTCATGAAAATACTTTAATCACAAATCCACAGCTCACTGTGTTCATTTCACTGTCAGCGTAAAACAACTTCTTCCTTCTAACATTGTTTCCTCAGTCATAGTATAAACCTGTTTTTCAAAAAGTTATCCTGTGTTTTTCTCACACTCTCCACTCCTGCTCCCGACTGACAGCAGTGTCTCTGTGATGCAGACCTCATGCTGCACCAGCAGGTGAAAATAAAACCTCCAGCACACAGAAGCATTTCAGATCTTTGAGCGGCGCTGCCCCTCCTCTCCTCACATCATTTCTCTCCAAAAATCGAGGCTACTCTGCAGCGTGTGCCTGTTGACCCGCTGCAACCCGGCGACTGATTCCTTCACTGACACAAAAGAAACAACAAAACAAAAGCACATCAGAGTTGAACAGTGACAGGTGAGGGTAAAGGTGTTTCCCTGGAGAAACACACAGCACTCTGAGGTGTTTTTATCTCCCAGGAGAGCGGCGTGCTGATGGTTCACATTTTTCTCCTGGAAGATGTCGTTTAGATTTTTATTCTGTTATACTCTTGTACCAGCTTGTGTTTACATCGGTTGAGCTTCTCTAATGAAGATTGCTGCTCTAAAATATACACCTACAGCGTCTTCATCAGACTGAACACTTCAGTGTAAACAAGAAGCCTCCCTCACTGAGATCCTGTTGTTTTTCTCTTTAGAGTAAGTGATTACTCCCATAAAACACTGCTCTGTTTATGGCAGTCAGAGTGTGCACGCTTACGGGAAAATGAAAGAGATGTAAATCTGCCAAACCAGAAAAAAAAGTATGTTGTGCTGGGAAACAGTAGCACCCCAAAAAATGTTTCATAGGGGGTGGCCAGATTATTAGGGACACCTTGCTAGTACCAGGTGGGACCCCTTTTGCCTTCAGAACTGCCTTAATTCTTGGTGTCATAGATTCAACAAGGTGCTGGAAACATTCCTCAGAGATTTTGGTCCATATTGACATGATGACATCACATAGTTTCCATCATGAGAATCTCCCGTTCCAGCACATCCCAAAGGTGCTCTATTGGACTGAGATCTGGTGACTGTGGAGGCCATTGGAGTACAGTGAACTCATTGTCATGTTTGAGATGATGTTAGCTTTGTGACATGGTGCGTTATCCTGCTGGAAGTAGCCATCAGAAGATGGGTACACTGTGGTCATAAAGGGATGGACACGCTCAGCAACAATACTCAGGTAGGCTGTGGTGTTTAAACCATGCTCAGTTGGTACTAAGGGGCCCAAAGTGTGCCAAGAAAAGATCCCCCACACCATTACACCACCAGCAGCAGCCTGAAGCGTTGATACAAGGCAGGATGGATCCATGCTTCCATCTGAATGTGGTTTTTCCAATCTTCTATTGTCCAGTTTTGGTGAGAAAACCAGTGTGAATTGTAGCCTCAGTTTCCTGTTGTTAGCTGACAGGAGTGGCACCTGGTGTGGTCTTCTGCTGCTGTAGCCCATCTGCTTCAAGGTTGGACAAGGTGTTGTTGCTTCAGAGATGCTCTTCTGCACACCTTGGTTGGAACCAGTGCTTATTTGACTTCCTGTTGCCTTTCTATCATCTTGAACCAGTCTGGCCATTCTCCTCTGACCTCTGGCATCAACAAGGCATTTTGGCTCACTGGATATTTTCTCTTGTTGGGACCATCCTCTGTAAACCCTAGAGATGGTTGTGTGTGAAAAAAATCAACAGGAAATGAAATAAAACACATTGTGGGAGCAAAGAAAAATGTGCAGATTCATCTGATTGCCACTAAAAGTCTCCAGTCCTGTAAAAATGATGATCTGACAAAAGTGGAGTTTAGTAACAAGTATCACTACTCTAAACCTCTCTGCCTCTCACCCTCAGGTACATCCACGCCCTCTACCTGGGCGCCCAGAGCCGTTGGCACAGCAACGGGCCCAGCCGCCACTTCCACTGGCGGCTAATGTTTGAGAGCGCCGACATCACCATGCTGCGCCTCCTGGAGGCCTTCCTGAAGTCGGCTCCGCAGCTCGTCCTCCAGCTGAGCATCATGATCCACGGAAACACCGTCCTCCCTCTGCAAGGTCAGTGACATCCTGAGCACCTCCTGCTCCAACAGTTCGTAAAGTTTGACTGATATGATAAAACTGCGCTCACCAAGTTAAGTGCTGAAATCTGGGACACCGCTATATCGCTATAATAAAGTCAGACTGAGGAAGAGGAGTTGTAAACAAGCCAGATTATTGAAACCACTTCACCACAGTGAAGTTTTTGAGCACAATATGATTATTACTGATGAAAACTATGAAAATAAGATCCAAGCTGTAACAAGACAGAATTATCCTTTGAGAAAACTGATGGTTATCTCCTTTTATTGGACTTCATTTTATTGGATTGTATCAGCAGTAATCAGCCACGAGAGAGAGACTAAGGTTTAATGAAGGGTGTGTGTGTGTGTGTGTGTGTGTGTGTGTGTGTGCGTGAGTGTGTGTGTGTGTGTGTGTGTGTGTGTGTTGAAGGCAGATATCAGTAGGACAGTCGATGCGTTATTCATGCACCTCTTACAAGAAGCAGATTGGCCTTTGATGAATAAAACAAAACTTTCTCTCTGAGTGAAACACACACACACGCTGAAGACACACACACACACGCACACACAAGTCAAGTGTCAGACACGTATTTGTACAAAACACACAAAGAAGCTACACGAATACACAACACACTCATGTGACCAACAAAAAAATCTTGAGTGACGTGCATTCCCACATTTATCAGGTGTTCCACCCGCAGATTCTGTGAGGGACACTGAGTGAATGTAACAGCGTAGTGTGGCATGGAGAGGGATGTGCACGGCCGCAGTGCTGGTCATCAGAGCAAACCAGCCGAGAGCAGCTGTGGTCCAGCTCGTTATTTCATTCAGGAAGCTCAGTGGAGCTTTGACAGTCAACAGAGGCACATTCATGGCCCTTTAACAGTGTTTCTGTTCAGAAACTTGTGCTGTAGCTGAGCTGGTGGCTCCCCTACAAGAGGTGTGGGTGTGGGAGAAAGCCAGTACATAGTCTTAGCCCTGCTGCTGTAGTGCTTTATCATGGTAAAGTCAACATTACTCAGCTCCTCCAGGATGCTTTGATCACAACAGTTTAAATTTTGTCCAGTCACTGCAACTTTAGTGCAAATTTGCTCTCTGTCTTTATCATGAGACTGCTGCTGCGGGATCGGAGCACTGTTCCTGGGACACACACACACACACACACACACAGTGGCAGGGCTAACTGTTAGCATCACACAGCTAATGTCATCCAATGGTTATTAACAGGTTTAACAACAAAGTTCAGCTGTTTCTGTTTTGGCTTGTTGTCAGATGTTACCCACTGCTGCGAGGCTTTGACCCAAGCACCAATATGATGAGTAGGGAGGAGAGAATGTTTTGCTGTGTTAGCTCATGCTAACTGGACAAAAAGAGCAATAAAAGAGCGGCTCGTGGTCCTTCAGCTCTGCGTCGAGCGGCAGTTAAATATAAAGGTCATGATCATGACCGTGTTATTACCTGACATGCTTAGGCCTCCATAGTCAATATGTGGAACGTTTGATACGTTTCTGTACCCCTACATTCACCTTGCCTCTCCCCTTTTACTGTTGTACTCTGTGGGAGAGGTAAGCGACATTGCTCTGGTAGTCATTTCTGTGTTTTAGTGCTGTTAAGCTGTTTATGAGTTCATTTTTTAGCCTAAAATTATTGTATAACTAGTCCATACCCATTGAGTGCACAGTTGCCCACGTACAGTTTCACATGGTGTGTGTTTGGGATACAGGTCATAGGAAATTGCACATTAAATAGTCAACTGAACCCATTAAGAAAAGCAATGTATTCAGAGTTTTTGTGCATTTGATAGTACGATTGCTTTATTGAAAGTACAGTACCATTGCCAATAGTGGGATAGTTAGTGGGCTAAAACTGTACATTAGTAGTTGAGGTAGCACGTTGAAAGGCAGATAGTTAAACTGTTTAAAGAACATTGGTCCACAGGGGGAGCCACAGTGATCGGTCGCATTTTAGCCATTTTGAAGCATATCTACATATCTACCAAGTTTAGTAAAAATCCATATGGCGGTTAGGCCTAGATAAGAAATGAGCTCTCTAGCGCCCCCATTTTGTTTGATGGGGTCAATAATGGAGGGGTCCCCTCAGATTATGTGTGGTCATATGCCTACAAAGTTGCGTGGTGATGGGTGAAACCCTTGAGATGTTATACACCTTTATGTGATGAGCCACGCCCTCCGCAATATTCATTGCCTTATAGAAGCTCAGTTTTAGTAAGTTTTCCAACTTTTGCCAAGAGGGAACTTTAGATATTGGTCCCTAGATTATGTTCACCCAGTTTCATGCAGATCGCTCAAACTTCCTAGGAAGAGATCCATTTGAAGTGTTTTTCAAAAAATTCAAAATGGCGGAAAATCTTTATAAACGGAAGTTATGGGTTCTTGAGACAAATGTGTTCCTCATGAGGAGAGGCATCTCTGTGCAAAGTTTCATGTCTCTACGACATACAGGGCATGAGATATGCCCATTCAAAGTTTGCAATTTCAATCGGTTGCTATAGTGCCCCCCTTTGGCCAATTGATGTAATATTGCTTCATTGGCATCCTCCCATGACCCTCTACCACTGTGCCAAATTTCACATGGATTGACCAAGTCAGTGAGGAGAAAAACATGGAACAGACACACAGAGTTTTTGTCATTATATAGCTATTTGTGTAGGGGCTCGAGTTATATGGTCATAATTGACAGAAGATTTCGTTTTCGCCTCTTGCTGTCAGATTTGTCAGGAATAAATGGAGATCACCTCCAAAGATATCCTCCGTCTGGGCCTCTTCATATCTACATAATGCCACAGACATCACCATAGTCCACTGGTTACATATATATTATGTTGATAGGGACTGGGATGTCTACATACGTATACGTCAACTGCCCCCTCAAAGTGTTACGTTTGTGTTCTAATACCTTTTCTGAACATCTTAAATCTTTCCCTTGACAAAAACCCTCATATCATTAAAAAAACTAAAACTACACTGAAGCTATTAAATGTTAAGCTAAAACTTAACATTTTTAAACAATAAAAACTAAACTTAAAAGAACAAACACACTCTGGAAACTAACTGAAACTAAACTGAATTAAAAACAGATATTAAAATGAAAATAAATAAAAAATACAAAACTATAGAGACTAAAAAGACCGTCCTCGCTCAAACACTGTCCTCTCTTGAGGTCCAAAACCTAAAGTCCTCACAAAAATACAATTATCAGAGCGCGCGCACACACACACACACACACACACACACTTCTGTCTGTGCTCGCTAAACTGCCGTCTGTTAATATTCATACATGTTTGGGCACATGTATCATACAGCACAGACATTCCCACACAGCTAATGTCACCTCAGAGCTGATATAGCTCATTGATTCATCCATCAGCCAACCAATCAAATTATTCAACTCACTGCTGCCAATTAATCATTCAAGTCATCTGTTTAGTACAAATCCCAAACATTTGCCGGTTCCAGTTTCTCCAAATGTTGGGATTTGCTGGGCTTTCCAAGCATGACAAACTGCATCTGTCTCTTTCTACCCATAATCCCCTTTGTTTTGGGTTCATTTCCTCTGTTGGTGCTTTGGTTTGTTTTCTTAAAATGCATTCCAGGGAACGTGACACGTCACTGGTCGGACTCGCGGGGTTTATCAACTCCGGTATCAGCAAGAGGTGGTTGTTCGGTAGAAAACAGTTTAAAGACAAGATCAATTCATAAGACATAATAAAGATGCAGATAAAAGCAGATAAATCATATATTTACCAACACATCTAGATGTAAGTTTAAAAAAAAATTGTGTGTATCATATAGCAACACTTATAACCTACAAAACTCCACACCTCAGCTCTGGTTCATGCTTATGTCATCTAGGCAACTCAGTTCACCGGTTCCTCTTTACTCACAGCCAGTATATATCTATATACCCCGGCCTCACAGTCACTCTTTGCCAGATTGTTCTGAGACCCTCATCAGCTTTCTGTCCCTGATCTTGAGATCTGCTTCTGTGTCCTTGTTACTGTCTGACGATGACGCTGCGGCGTAAGTGTTCCCATTTGCTTATCTGTGGTTTCCTGGTCCAGAGACATTCAGTGTGTCGCCACACTCGCCACTGTGTGCGCGTCCTGTGAGGACTCAGCCACCGGCTTCTCAATCGTCTGCCTGGCTTCAGCCTACCTTCTGCCTGTCCCATTCTGATTCGTTTAGTATCTATATACAGACTCTACATTCAGTGAATGTAGAGTCTGTAGGCAAACCCCGGAGATCTTGCCTCCGGAAGAAGAATGGAAGAGCCCTGGTTTCCGGTTGTAGGCTGTTTGTAGTCCGCTTGATATTGACCAATCACGTTTGAGCCGGCTGCAGTTGTTGCCAGGTTAAACGGTCCGTGCTGTGAACTAACAAGGCGGAACATAATTGGCGTCGCTGCAAACTCTGAATCCATCACAATGGTTCAGCATATTTACTTATATATAAATGGAAGTCGGAAACGGAAATTCACCTCCTCCGCCCAAATCAAACCGGAATGCCAAAAAATCGGGGGTCTGCCCCCAGAGGCTGTATCGCCGTCTACCGGAAGTCNACCTCCTCCGCCCAAATCAAACCGGAATGCCAAAAAATCGGGGGTCTGCCCCCAGAGGCTGTATCGCCGTCTACCGGAAGTCAGACGCCAAATACGGCCAATGGGTTCCAAGAATGTGATTCGTCTAACCTTGTCTCCAAAGTTGTCGAAATCCATTGCTCGGTCAGTGACTTCAGGTGTCAGACACAGACGAAAAAAACGTCCTTTCATGTTGGCATGATACTCGGCTGCTTGCAATTATTCTGTAACATCGCCTAGCAGCATCAGGGGAGAAACACGACGGGACAACAACAGAAGTTAAGGTGGAGGAAGTCCAAGTGGAGCGGGCAGGAAGGGTGGTGGATGGGACCAACAAATCCTGGACTTTCACCTGGGAGCCGGTAGTTGCTTCTCGTATGAATGTAGAATGTTGTTTTTTTTTTCCTGAACCTAATCGCGTGCTCTTGTTTACATCCCGGCACTGGTGCGATATGTCATGACTTACGATCAGAATGTTTTGGCATTTTACCTGGAGGTCTATGAGAATTGACTCGCTTCTGGAGCCAGCCTCAAGTGGTCATTCAAAGAACTGCAGGTTTTGGCACCTCCACATTGGCTTCATTTTTCTGCCTGGAGGTTACTGCTTCCTCTAAACCCACAGTGAAATAAAGCTGCTGTCCTGACGTGAACATGGAGTGAAATCCACAACCAAAGAACACAAGTTAACAGAACATCCTCTGAAGTTTGTTTTGTTGGCACAACAAGTGTTTTTCTATACTCTAACAACTTGTAATCCATATTTATGCAAACGAGCGTGAGCAGGCGTTCAAGGTGTTTCAACTACAACGAACACAAAACTGGAATCCAAGAAAAACACTGCAGTCTGCATAGCAATTGAGTACAATGTAAATGTAATAAAGCAAAAAGTCCTGCATTCTTTTAAGGCATTTTGATACAAGGGAAAAGAGGAAAATAAAAATAAAAAGCCAGTTTTCTTATACAAAACCCAAAACCAGTGAAGTTGGCATGTTGTGTAAACCGTAAATAAAAACAGAATACAATGATTTGCAAATCCTTTTCAACCTATATTCAATTGAATACACTGCAAAGACAAGTTACTTAATGTTCGAACAGGAAACTTTTTTATTTTTTTGCAAATATTAGCTCATTTGGAATTTGATGCCTGCAACATGTTTCAAAAAAGCTGGCACAAGTGGCAAAAAAGACTGAGAAAGTTGAGGAATGCTCATCAAACACTTATTTGGAACATCCCACAGGTGAACGGGCTAATTGGGAACAGGTGGGTGCCATGATTGGGTATAAAAGCAGCTTCCCTGAAATGCTCAGTCATTCACAAACAAGGATGGGGCGAGGGTCACCACTTAGTGAACAAATGCGTGAGCTGATTGTCAAACAGTTTAAGAACAACATTCCTCAACGAGCTATTGCAAGAAATTTAGGGATTTCATCATCTACGGTCCGTAATATCGTCAAAAGGTTCAGAGAATCTGGAGAAATCACTGCACGTAAGCGACAAGGCCGAAAACCAACATTGAATGCCTGTGACCTTCGATCTCTCAGGCGGTACTGCATCAAAAACCGACATCAGTGTGTAAAGGACATCACCACATGGGCTCAGGAACACTTCAGAAAACCACTGTCAGTAACTACAGTTCGTCGCTACATCTGCAAGTGCAAGTTAAAACTCTACAATGCAAAGCGAAAGCCATTCATCAACAGCACCCAGAAACGCCACCGGCTTCGCTGGGCCCGAGCTCATCTAAGATGGACTGATGCAAAGTGGAAAAGTGTTCTGTGGTCTGACGAGTCCACATTTCAAATTGTTTTTGGAAACTGTGGACGTCGTGTCCTCCGGACCAAAGAGGAAAAGAACCATCCGGACTGTTATAGGCGCAAAGTTCAAAAGCCAGCATCTGTGATGGTATGGGGGTGTATTAGTGCCCAAGGCATGGGCAACTTACACATATGTGAAGGCACCATTAATGCTGAAAGGTACATACAGGTTTTGGAGCAACATATGTTGCCATCCAAGCAACGTCTTTTTCATGGACGCCCCTGCTTATTTCAGCAAGACAATGCCAAGCCACATTCTGCACGTGTTACAACAGCATGGCTCCATAGTAAAAGAGTGCGGGTACTAGACTGGCCTGCCTGTAGTCCATACCTGTCTCCCATTGAAAATGTGTGGCGCATTATGAAGCGGAAAATACGACAACGGAGACCCCGGACTGTTGAACAACTTAAGCTGTACATCAAGCAAGAATGGGAAAGAGTTCCACCTGAAAAGTTTCAAAAATTGGTCTCCTCAGTTCCCAAACGTTTACTGAGTGTCGTTAAAAGGAAAGGCGATGTAACACAGTGGTAAAAAGGCCCCTGTGCCAACTTTTTTGCAATGTGTTGCTGCCTTTAAATTCTAAGTTAATGATTATTTGCAAAAAAAAAAAAAAAGTTTCTCAGTTTGAACATTAAACATCTTGTCTTTGCAGTGTATTCAATTGAATATAAGTTGAAAAGGATTTGCAAATCATTGTATTCTGTTTTTATCTACGATTTACATAACGTGCCAACTTCACTGGTTTTGGGTTTTGTATATGTTTTTTAAAAAGAAGGAAAAGGCAGTATAAAGCTGCAGAGAGATGATTTATACAAAAACAGTTTTGGCAGGATGCCACATTTCCCCCAAACAGTGATCATATAGACCTAAAAAACTGCTCCTGGAAGTCATCCTCAAAGCAGAAACTTGTTTTCAACAGCAGTAGTTTTGTAAATATCAATTTCAAATATCAGTGAGTTTCTGCATGAGAGGAATGTTCAAGTTCTCTTCATAAAAAAAATCCAGGATGATCAAAATGACATTAAAATGCAAAGTTGGTGCAGCTCTTTCTCTGCTCAAATTTTAATGCCTTCTCAGTGTGATTCATGGCTAATTTGAGACAAGACTGCATGATTAACACACATGAATGTTTAATGTGTTAAACTGCACTCTGGGTGGCTCGCAGTACGCCTCACAGTTACGTGCGCAGGCTAATGATCGTTTGACTTCAGTAAAAAAAATGGTTCCAGTCCATCTGAATGAGCGAAGAGGAAACGCATTTAAAGGTGCTACATTAGCATTTTAGCATCAATTGATTAGTCATTCATTAATTTTGAGACGTTATTCCATCTGATGGAAACAGAAGTCGTTTTCCTATTGTGTGATTTTCACAAGCACAAAATATCTTAAAGGAATACTTCACCCACAAAATGACCATTTGTATATAAATCGCTCACCATGTGTTAATCTTTCTGGCATTCCTCCACAGCGAACAAAGAATTCAAAAACAGAGAAAATTCTTGATGATCTGAAGTCATAGGGGGCCGAGTTTAACAACGGCAAAATTATATCAAAATATCTGCTTACAAACTCTCACACAGCTCCTGCAGCATAACCCAAGTCTCATTAATCCAGTCGTATGCTCAGTGCTTCCCAAACATGTTTTTCACTAAAACCGTAATATTTAAACAGTCTCACGCACAGCTGAGTATCGTGCCTGGGCAAGTGCATGCGTTTGAACTCTGCGTAATAAATGATGAGTGGTTTAATTAGTAATGTTTTAGTAAAAACACACGTGTAAAGTACTGAGCATACGACGGAATAAAGTTATTCTGCACAAGTTGTATAACACGCATCATATAGCCTGTTTACCTGAAGTCCTGAGTGCAGAGCTGATCTTCTTCCAGGTGCTGTTTATAAGTGTGTCTGTTTATAAGTTTTTCGTCTGTGGGACAGTTGTAAAGCTCTGGGTAGCCCTGCACTAACATGATCAACTTTCCCGTGTTTATCAGACTGAATATTTACAGAGGAAGGGAAAGATATCTGTGAGCTGTCTTGACTGCTGAGCGTGGACACTTCCTGTGTCTGTCCTTTCAAATTAAGGTTTTGATTTATTTTGACAAGGCGTAGCTCCTAATAGAGTTTCACTTTTTTGTTTTTTGTTTTCTGTAGCTAAGCGACCAATGAAATCTTGCCGTCTAATGATGTTTCTGGTCGACCAACGTTTGGTCGACCATTAGGGGGCAGCCCTAATAAACTCACTGGCTATTTACAAAGCTTGCAGCTTTCATAAGCTGGTGGAGTTGGTCAGTTGTCATGGCCGTCACACTTGGTGGTTAAAAGCTTCAAAAAAGCTCATGAATGGACCCTGACTTAAGATTCTCATGTTAGTATTTCCTGTCATGCTCTACCTTTAAAATACTTTAGGTATTTGTAACTGTTTATTTTTGCTCTTCAGTGGATTCATACAGAAGCCTTAAATTTCAATACCTTTCTTCTGCAAATATTTTGTTTTACAATATCACTGTTGTAGTTAAGACCCATCAGTCGATTCCACTTTGGAGACACTATAGTGCACAATGACTGAATTGCAGCCTCAGAGTTACTTTGACAGAAATATTGGTGTTTGATTCCAGTGTGTTTGTTATAATCAGACTTTGTTTTATCTGCTTTTTTATCTCTATTTCTTTCTTTCATTTCCCCCTTCATCACCAAAATGTCTTTGTATTTCTATTTCCTCTGTTCTCTTCCTCTTATTTTTCTCTCTGTCTCTCTCTCTTCGTCTGTCCCTCCAGGCCTCTCGGCCTCGGCCTCTCTGGTCTCTCTGGCCTGGATGATCGCCTCCTACCAGAAGGTTCTCCGGGACTCCCGCGACGACAAGCTGCCCATGTCCTACAAGGCCGTGATCACCCAAATGCTGTGGCACTTCTTCACCATCGGGGCGAGGACAGTGGCCTTCGCCCTCTTCGCATCCGTCTTCCAGCTCTACTTCGGCATTTTCATCGTCAGCCACTGGTGCGCCATATGTGACCTGATGCAAAGACTTTGGGTCCACGATGAGAAGCTTAGCATTTGACCCATAGAAAGTTATGAATTAAGATGTGTTTTTAATAGTTTTCAGGAGAAAACTGTCAGTCCTTTCAATTTTGCTTTTGACAGGCTGACACCCATTAACCAGAAGCTAATTAGTTCATTTCAAAAAATGCAGAATCATGTGAAATACAAGAGGCTCAAGAGGCTTTTCCATTTAGTCCAGCACTATATTGAGTTTTAGTGCCACATATCAACACACTATCCATTTAGAAGTGGTGAAATTTTAATGTTTAATAATGTCAATATCTTACTCTTTATCTTATTTGCTGTTGTCTTTGCTGACAGACAGCCGGCCTGCCACATTAAGATGCGGAAACATAGTGCCCACTGCCCACGTATGTCCAGTCACTACTGGTTAGCTAACATTAGCTTTTGCTGCTTTGCACTGCTAGTGGTGCCAGTGGTTACACATGTCAGTCTGTAGGTTAATTTTGCTACTCTTCAGTTACAGCACTGCACACCTCTTCACTTGGAAACATTGTGCCCACTCTTCAGTCTCACCCCAGGTCACTCTGATGAGTAAGTGGCTTCATTTTGAGCCACACAACCACCTTTAGGACTGTTAACTATATTTACACCATTAGCTGTGCTGACACTGCTAATGGCACTAATGTTGTGTTCACACCAGGCGCAAAAACAATTTGCGTCAGTACGTTTACATGGACAGTTTAATGCCACTTTTAATCGGAATGAAAGGCCGTTCCGATTAAAAGTGGTCATGTAAACAGTCATTCCGACTGAAAAATGGTCATTCCAATTGAAAATTAAATCCAATTAAAGGGGGTGGTTTATTCCGTTTGTCATTCCGAATGAAAGAATTTTGTGTGCATGTATACACTCATTCCTCTTTAAGTTCATTCCGGTCTTTCTGCGCATGCTCGTTTCCTTGTCCTTCTCTCGCGATGACGTATATAGCGCGCATAGCAATGGGCTGAGATAGAGCAGTCGGACTCGTTGCACTCACCGTTTTCCATTCGCCACAGCAGCATGGCCTTCTACCTCCCTTCTCCTCCTCAACAGACGAAGCATTAGCAGAACAGGGTTGTTGTCGTACTGCTGCTTAAAGAATATAAGCAAAACACGCCCGAAAAAGGCACTAAGAACAGCGTCATCAAGCATGTTGTTATCCGGAGCGAGGACTACAGTATTTTATTCCGGTAAACGTAAACACATAACATCCGCCCCGCCCCCTATCCAATCAGAAACCTTCCCTGCCCCAAACCTTGCGCAGACCTGAATAAAGGCGATTAAACTGATCTCCCGTGTAAACCCTCATTCGGAATGAATATTTCCCATGTAAACTACCTGGAAAGACTTTAATTCCGAATGATTTCATTCAGTTTTATTTCATTCCGAATGAGAAGCCATCATGTAACCGTAGCCAATACGCGTGACTGCATCACATGTAAAGAAGTTCATTCATCGATTCAATGATTTCACGTGCATATGATGCAAGTAATTTACAAGTAAAAGGCGAGTCAACACTAAATACTCTCACGTTCAAACTATCGCATGTGACGTGACGCAAAAATTTGCATCATGTTTGGTGTTAAAGATTAAAGTTCCACTGATTGTCACACACCTGAGTGTGTGAAATTTGTTCTCCGCATTTGACCCATCCCCTGAGGGAGCGGTGAGCAGCAGCGGTGCTGCGCTCGGGAATCATGTGGTGATCTAACCCCCCAATTCCAACCCCTGATGCTGAGTGCCAAGCCGGGAGGCTTATAGTCTTTGGTATGACCTGGCCGGGGATCGAACCCACGACCTCCCAGTCTCAAGGTGGATACTCTACCACTAGGCCACTGAGCTTGTGTGAACACAATATAACAGCGCTAAGTAGTTAACAATGCTAAAGGGGAGTTGCGGCTAAGATCTGAGCTGCTCACTCACCAGGATGACCTGGAGGGGAGACCAAAGGGTGGGCACAATATTTCCACAGCAAAGCTATTGGGTCGGGACGGCATTACAAACAGAAATCGCCTAATAAGTGGTGCCATTAGCTAACATTAGCTTCCACCAGACCCTGGTGCTGCACAGTGCAGTAAGTGAAGAGCAGCAATTTTTATACAATAGATTGACGTGCATAACCAGTCAGAAAGATTCTAGGCAGTTAACTAATTGACAGTTTTCCATTGATATTTCAAGTCGTTTCTCTCAATTATAGTAACCATGAAAATGTTTTATCATTTAAGTGTGTCGTACAAGTTTACAAAACAATTGACTGGTTGCATTGACATTCAACAAAAATTGTACCCAGCCAACGTTTGTATGTGGGGCCCATGTGGGTAGTAAATGGGCTGTAAAATGAGCCCTGAGTGGGATTGTCAATGGGGTTCATATTGGCCTCATGCTAATTGCCCACATGGGTTGGTTTGGCCAAGTGGGCCCCACATAAGATGCCCATTTTGGGCCAATACCCACTTGGAACCTAGGTAGCCCTATAACCCATGTGGGGCCTACTTGGGTAGACCCACCCATGTGGGCAGTTAGCATGAGGCCAGTATGAACCCTTTGACAGTCCCATTCAGGGCACATTTTCAGCCCATTTACAACTCACATTGGCCCCACATACAAACACTGGCTGGGTTTAAGTCCTCTTGTATCTGAACTTCAGGTCCACCAGCAGAAATAGAGAATAAATTATTCAAGCAGTCTGTTTCCAGAATCAGAGCCTGTAGAAACTCATACAACAGTGAATTTACTGAGATACATTGCGCTTTACCGTGTTACGCAGTCAAACATCTTTCTTAAATAAACACTGTAAATATATTGTTTTTTAACATGAGCCCATTCTCGCTCATTAGCAATATTAAGTCACATCTGTGTGATTTAAACAAACAGCTCTCTCTGCACTTTGCTGGGTCTGTCCCCCAAGGAGGGACACTTACTCATTTAGCTGATTTATACATTTCCTCCTCATTCATTGTCATTATTTATAGATTTATGAAAGTGGTGCAGACAGAATGTGATCTTCTGTGAGCTGATATTTTAGTATCAATGTCTCATCTTGTCATGATTTAACTTTGGGTCAAATGTTTCAGATGAAATGAGCCTTTATACCCAGATAACTGATTTAAATCACTATAAATGCACTGTGTGAAATTACTAGGAGATGTTTTACAACAGCACATTGCAAATTAAGATATTTCTGTTCTGTTCTGTCTCGCTTTGCAGCATCCTGTAAAAAATTATGTGCATGATAGATGGGGTCAGAGGCAGAGCCAGCTGTTGTAAATACTCAGGGCTCAACCCAAACCTAAAGGGGTAAGGGGGTATTCTCCCCTGTAGAGAGTTTTTGTTCCATTTACGGCAACTATATGTACTATTTTTCGAGGCATTTGAGAAAATAGGATGCCTAAAATCTTTTAAAACTGTAAATAATTTTTTAAAAAAATGATAGCTGCCTGGGTGGCAGGGTGGTGCCTAACAGCAAGGGGTTCAAACACGGGAGTTTGCTTGTTCTCCCTGTGTCAGCCTGGGGTTTTTTTCGTCCCAAGACATGCAGGTGAGGTTAACTGGTGACTTAAAAATTGCCAGTAGGTGTAAATGTGAAGCTCCTTTTCACAATTTCCCGTTGTTATGCCGTCCCGTCGTCTTTTATAAACGGTGTAATTGCTGTTTTGCGTGTGACCCACTGTGGGAGATTTATAAAATAACTGATAGCAGTTAGCAGCTAACTCAAAGAAGAAAAAGAACAGCAGCTGAAAATGTCCGCAGATTGGGGAAATAATGAGGTCCAGAAGCTCCTTACCTTCCAAACAGAGGACGAAACCACATACACACATATCATATAACAGAGAAGGTAAATTATTATTATTACGTTGCCATTGTTATTGTTTAGAAAGCGCTGCCGAGGCATATGTTATATGTTACACTTGAGCGGCATGATGCCGCCGTCATTTGACTCTGTGTAAAAATATAAAGGCAGCATAATGAAGGAACTGCATAGCATCCCTATAACGCGATCTCTGTGTAAAAAGGGCTTCAGTGTGAATTGTTCTCTCTCTCTATGTGTCAGCTCTGTGATAGTCTGGCAACTTGTCCAGGGTGTATCCCGCCTCTCACCCAATGACAGCTGGGATAGGCTCCAGCCCCCTGTGCCCCTGAATAGGATAAGCAGTTACAAATAATGGATGATAGTTGCCAAGGAAAAGAAATCACCCTGTAGAGACTGCATCCTATTTTGCATCTGATTGTTCTCCAACTGTCTTCATCATTCTGAAACCACAACACAGCAAATGTTGAGGATGACTGATTCTCCGTCCTGCCACCTAAAAAGAGCCAAAATTCACCCAGTGTTACTTTTTTCAAGTTACATAACTTAGGCAGGGTAGGAATTTGGACTAAACCTATTTTTGCTTCACCATGCTGAAGTAGAGTTCACAGAATGAACGTTTAACTGACAAATCTGCTACATCTGAATCCATGCCATAATAATCTGGGCTGCTCTAGCTGCATATCAAGGCTCCTCAGCAAAGCCAAGTAAATGTGGTATTCAATACTCTGAACTGCATATTTAGCCAACAGAAGAACATTTACTTCATTATATTAGCTTTCTTCAGGGAATAGCATAGATTCAGGGATTCTGAAAAACAATCGGGGCCCCAGCAGCCCCCCCTCTGCTCCGCCCCTGGTCGGGGATATTTGCTTTTTTGGAATCACCAAGATACATTAACTTGTAGTCAAAGACAACTTGTTGCTGTGTCTTTCTCTTCTCCAAGAGGCTTAATCATTTCTACTGACAGCTAAATAAGTGTCCAAGCAGACACTTTATTTGACCACAATTACATCACAAAGCACCCATTTGGTATATTCGCCCCCACAATGTTACAGTTTTGGAAAAAGCAAATTACATTTTCAGAACCTTTCCTGTAGTGAGGATGAAAGATTAGTGTAGGAGGAATGGTTATGAGGTCAGAAAAATTCAAGGAGTTTTGGAGCCCTTGGGAGCATGAATATGCTCAGTAAATTTTATTGCAATCGGGCCGTTATACAGCGAGATATCTTGTGTGCAAATCTATTTTATGTTATGACACAGGGACGCGTATAGAGGTGAGCAAAATCAAAAAGAAAATGTGTGTGTGCGTGTTTCCCTCTGTTTGCAGCTAATCTTACACTGGACCAGTCTCATATTTTGTGTGCACATCTATTACTATATGCTCAAGGACCTCTCGTGGTTGCCAACAGTTGTTGTAAAACCTGTTTTATTGACTGTTGTATACCGTCCGTGACTGCAGACTCCTCACTGCTCTGAACTAGCCGATGGGGGCCACAAGGGTTCAGGAAATCATCTCAGCTAAAAACAACAAGCCGTACTGTCTGTAGTGGGCCACATTTTGTCCTTTGCTGTGTCTCAAAAACTGACATCCACAGAAGAGTTTGGTCTCATTTTGAACAGAAGCATCTGCAGATTCATTCCATACCTGATATGTTATGAATTACTAAAGTTAGGCACGATACAAGATGAATTAGCCGCCACTGTAGCACAGTGGAAGGTCAGCTCCACCAGGCTCAGCTGCTACATGGTTTTGTTCTGTCGTCCACACGACATTTTAGAAGCGGAGTGTTACACCCACTAGATTTTGTAGACTTGCAGATTTTGTTGGTCATTCTTCCATTCCATAAATGGTTTGTATCTATATTTCACATCCAGTGTCTGTTAGAAGGAGAACTCCATCTGCTGTGTGCAACACATCATGGCACCATCAAAAATAGACAAGGAGTGTATTTTTTAAGCTTCTGGGATGCTTCTTAAACATGTTGCATTGTATTTGCTGAAATTATAAGAATTGTCTAGAGTTACCGTGATCAGCCGCCTGGTGGAGATCTGCACTTTTCTAGTTAGATATTAATATTTCTTATATGGCCATCTTTAGAAATCATCATCATAATTACCCACCTCAAATTTTTATGACAATTTGATCCTCTTCCCCTGGAGTCTTAATAATGATCAAGCATTATTCTTACAAAACAAAAATGCATCACCAGGACTCACAAAGCCTCTTTCATTACCTCTATAAGGTGGTGTTATTACAGTGGGTGAATGTGCAGCTGCAGTATTAACCAGGGGTGGTTATTACTGCAGGGATGTAGTGCTGACGGAGCGCACTGCAATGGCACTCCAAGTGCTGAAATAGAATATTCGTTATTATATTGGCTTAATCCACTTGAAATGTATGTACATGTTTTTAAAGGCTTGAAGATCCAGTCATTGCTAAAGCCTATGTCATGCACAAGCACATCACCTGTTTCAACAGCCAGTCATCACTGCTCTGTTTACATCCTACAAATTAGGACAAAACAGCATCAAGCTACAAATTATATTCAGCCACAAAATAAACCTGAAAAGCTGCAGATCAGAACAGAAGTACAGAGAGTTGTTGCATAGAGATGGTACACCATCTCATCTAGTTGCACTGGTGTGAACCGGTAGCCTGGAAATCCAGACCCAAATCTAGAAAGTTTTAGGGTCTGGCCATGACTAATGAAAATGGCCCAACTCGAGGGGCGGCACCAAGCATGCATTTGTAAATATCACTGCACGCAATTGGATAACACTACGACCAATCAGGACAATACACGGGGTGACGTATCCAGAGCTTAGCTACCAGCGGAGCTAACTGGTAGATTAGACTCTTGCCGTATCCGATCGGCAAAACAGCAAAAATGTCCTTCTTGCAAAGGAAAGACTCGAGCGCCGTGTTCCTCTTTTAGAGAAAAAGCCAAGTCTAACTCATTCATTGTAGCGGCCAAAGCCGTTTCAAACAACTGGTGTTCATCCGTAGCCATCTTGCAGTGTTTACTGACTGATTCCGGACTTCGTCGTCACAGCGCTGTCGTCATCTGTTTAGCTCGCTTCTGGTCTGCCTATATCAGATACACCGATGTGATTGGTGCAGCTCGGTTTCATGGGCATAGGTAATGAGTATCATTACTGATTGCCAGAGTGACTTGCTGAGCAAATTCAAATTGTGCTCTCGCAAGAACTCTGGATTTCCAGGGTAGTGAACCGGCAGGTTTTTAGGACATTGCTGAACAGCACATTGCAAGTAGCTGCCTGTTTCAACTCGTCTCATTGCGAATCTTTGGTCTGAACTGGCTTAAGGTGTGTTGATTGGTTCACAACGCCAACTCATTCAGAGTAACATTTCATAAAGCACATCATCTTACAAGGCCCCGATAGCTGGCAGGTTATGGTTTAACAAGTGACTTATTAACTTAATACGTCATGTTTGCTCATAGTGACAGCAGCTGTTGAAAACATGAACAGCACACACAGGTGTCCTTGTAAAAGCGTTCAATTTAACTTTAATCAATTTTTAATATCCTTGTTTATTATCTATGCCAAATATTAACGCAAGTTACTACAAACAACCAAGGATGCATTCGGATAAATGAGCCACAACCATTTGCATACGTCATGGGTCCACTCAGATACTTTAACAAATAGCGCTGCACCCCTGGAAATAACATGAGGGATGGTAGTAGTGATGGTGTAGAAATAATAAAGTGGATGTCGGTATGACTACAAAGAAAAGAAGTTCTCTTTTAGAAAATTCCTGGCCCCTTATGAAGTCCTTTTGAAGTTGACCATCTAAGTTACCACATTATTCTCAGTACCAGTCATCATAAAATACACCTGTGCTGTACTACTGTTATTATGTTTTCTTTCAGGTGTGTCATGACCTTCTGGATCATCCAAGGTGAGACTGACTTCTGCATGTCCAAGTGGGAGGAGATCATCTACAACATGGTGGTGGGCATCATCTACATCTTCTGCTGGTTTAATGTCAAGGAGGGGCCCAGCCGCTTCCGTATGACCGTCTACTACTCTGTGACGCTGGCTGAGAACGTGGCACTGACTGCCGCCTGGTACACGTACCGCGGCCCCCACACCTCTGACTCCTACGCCCTGGTGGTGGTATGCCTGGTGGCCTGCAGCTTTGCCCTGGGAACCTTCTTCATGTTGGTGTACTACTGCTGGCTGCACCCCGATGGGCCCGTTCTGGGCTCACAGTGGGGAGGGTGTGTGGATGAGGGCGCGGTGGGTGCGGGAGGGGTAGCAGGAGTGATTGATGCTTGTCTCACCCCATCCCAAGGGTCCCAAACAGACATGGTCATTACCAGCCCTCCAAGGACTCTCCCCAGGACTAAAGACACAGGGGAGCCGGTTCCCGGAGAGCGCGACAAGGACAGGGACAGAGACAGTTGCCTGCCTGTCTTCCAGGTACGCCCCTCTCCGTCATCCTCTCCTGCACTTCTTCACAGGACCTCCTCACAATGCCGGGCACAGGAGGGCCCCGTGATCCGGATCGACCTACCGAGGAAGCGCTACCCGGCCTGGGATGCGCACTTTATCGATCGGCGCCTCCGCAAGACCATTCTGCTTCTGGAGACCACCTCAGCCATCAGCCCGAGGATACAGTACAGGAGTAGCATGATGGGCAGCAAAGAGGTTTTAGAATATGAGACAACTGTCTAAGCCAACAGGGGCTCTTAAACTTAAAAGTGCAGTCTGGGACCAAGGCTGAGCCTGAGATCAGTTCTCATCCCAGGACTACCTTCACCAGGAGAAGCATGGAGAGAAGACACAGAGTGTCAGGCAGCTCCTTTTTTCTAAAAGAGGTTGTCAAAACTTGATTGTAAAATGTGAAGCGCAATCTGGGACCAAAGCTCTCCCCTTAGGGCGCAGTTCGGGAGTACGTAGCATGAATGAGCCGTGGGAAGTGAAAGAAGTAACACTGAACTGGGATAATCTTCGTCTTTTCTAAAAGCTTGGAGGTGAGAAATTTAATCTCTCATCCTGGGACCAAGGAGTGTTAGATTTAGTTTCATCCTGCATGGTCAGAACAAGAAGTAAAAGGATTTTAGAGCAACAAAGTTGCGCAGTTTGAGATAATTGAGAAACAGTCTGCTGCATGAACTTGAGCCTTGGACCCCGGAGACTCAACAGAGACTTACCAGGGAACTTTTAGAGAGACTGGAGTTTGTACGGGACATGCAATCATTTGGTTTGGTAGCAAATTAGACACTGACAGAAAATGGGGACTCACTAGCTCATAAATATTGCTTTAGTGATTTGCAGGGCAAAAGACGTCCAGACATCTAGGTTAAAACTGAGCTAAATTTGGTTGAAAAGATGTGTCTAGGTTTTTAGAGATCTAGGTTACATATAATAGGTTAGACATGTTTCAACAGCACTTACATTTGTGTATTTCAGTGAAGCAGGACACAACTACAGGATGAAATATATTAAAACTGTGAATGAAACAATGGTTATTTTTAGCTTAGACGTCTCACTTTTTAGCCACATTTAGCCCAGTTTTAACCAAAACGTCTAGATTTCTTTTTACCTCTAATTCTTTGCAAACTGAGTATACTGCATATTGTAGTAAACTCAGTGACTTAACAGAGTATACATACAGTAAATAGGAATTCATTTGTTTTAGCAAAGAAACAGAGAGGATGCATTTTTCTTTTTCCCATACCACCATGCTTCCAAAAGGTTGCATGTCCCTCACAAACTTTGGTAACCGTCCTTTAAGCATTCTGTCCGTGGTGTCTAAAGAGAAATGTTGTCTCGTTCATTTGGCTCCAGTCTCATGGGAGCACGAGGATCCATCAGAAGTAGGCTCACAAGTCCACATGGTTTCTGAAATGTAAGCCTGAGATACAAGTGAAAACAGTCACCCATTCATATGTGATACAGAAACAGCCATAGCAAAAGTCCCGCTGTTTACATCCCAGCTGCTCTGTCACCCCCCCCCCCCCCCCCCAACCTGAGAAAGGACTTGTTTGGATCAAATCAATCAGGACAGGATGTAAGGTGGACGACTTCTGCGATGGCTACCACCATATGGCATGCCGTGATTCACCACAAACAGGCCTGTGATGTACAGTCGAATAAATACAGATGTCAGTTATAAGCTATTATAATAAGCTGTAGTTAGGTGATGAATGACTTTTGGATGAAAAAGCTTCATTTACTTGGGAGAGTCTAAATGTTGTCCACTTTTCTTGGAATACATACAATGTAGGGGTATGAAGGGTATCATGAACAACCTCATTATGCTATGAAAACATTTTCCAATGTTTGGTTTTTGGGGAGAACATCAGCTGATGACAAACGTCTCTTAACCATGTCAACAGACTTTGAATCCTCGAGCAGTTTGTTGGAATGTGAAAACACTAGCGCTCATCCAGTAAACAGTTAATACACATAACAATATGTGCTCAAAGCAAATTGCTAACAAAAATTCTGAGATGCAAAGCACCAGGATTGTTTTTGCAGGCTAGCTAGTTAGCAATAGCTGCTGTTTCTTGTTTCAGATGGGAAGTTGACGTGGGTTTTAGGGCTGGGTATTGTTTTAAAAAATGTCAGTACCAGTATCAATACCTGTATCCTTAAAGTGATACCAATACTGATATCGATAGAGTACTTCATTCAATACCCAAAATGTGAAATGAGCAGTGTGCAGTATCGCCATACTTTAGAATGTTTTGGTTGCATCTCGGCACGCTGAGCTGCCAACGCCGTCAGTACACCACGCTTGACTGCACACAACAGACTGTATGGATTGTAGCTGCTGCTGCAGGAGTGTGAGCTCCAAGGTGGGGACAGAGAGTCTGACTGCACCCTCACAGTGACAGGGTTATCTGTTAGCATCACATAACTGATGTTACCTGACAGGTTTAATTACCAAGTTGAGCCATTTTGGCATTGGTGCGAGTTTGTTGGGACCGTTAAACAGCTTGGTGTTGCATTTTAGCTGCTGCTGCTATTTTAGCTCGTACTGAGCTCCAGAGATGGCAGCAACAGAAAGTTTGCTGATCTGGAGGAGAGCCGGAACGTTCGGGAGTCAGAACCCCTGCGTGAAAAGGATCAGAAGGAGGTGTTGTGTGAGTAAAGACATCTTGATACTACTAGGCACTGGGTTACTGTAATACCAGTGGAAATACCTGTACCCTTAAAGTGCTACCGATATCGATAGAGTACTTCAGTCAATACCCATAATGTGAAAGGAGTGGTGTGCAGCATAGCCATACTGTAGAATGTTTTGGTGGCATTTCGACACGCTGAACTGCCAACTCCGTCAATACACCACGCTCAACTTCATCACACTGCAGACTGTATGGGCTGTGGCTGCTGCTGCTGCAGGAGTGTGAGTTCCAAGCTGGGGACAAAGACTTCACTCGTACACTCACAGTGACAGGGCTATCTGTTAGCATCACATAGCTGATGTTACCCAACAGGTTTAACTACAGATTGGAGCTGTTTAAGCATTGGTGTGAGTTTGTTGGGACCGTTAAATGGATCAATGGTGCATTTTAGCCGCTGCTGCTGTTTTAGCTCATGCCTAGTTTCGGGGAGAAACTGAAAGTTTGCTGATCCAGGGTGGTTCCTGGCACAAAAAGGATCAAACGCAGGTATTGTTTGACTAAAGACAACTTGATACTACTTGGTACTGGGTTATTTCTGTTAATAACTCAAATGTATGGAGCACCGATACCCAGCCCTAATGGATTTACTTTTTGAAAGATAATGTTGTTTACAAAATGAAACCATGTACAGGCCTTTAAAGAGCTCTAAAGAGTTAGGTTTGGACTAATAAGTGACATCATCAGTCAACTGAAGGGAAAAAATGAATTTGTCAGATGAGAAATCCTCTTTGCTCCTTTTATGCTGCTGTTGTGATGCCCTGAAGCAAGGAGCTACAACATGAACAAATTCAGTGAAGCTGATTGGCAACCGACTTCAGAGGTCGAAGTTTAAACACGGCAGCTCCCAGGTGTGAATGTGTTACTATCAATTAGAAGCAGCTGGATGCTGAGAGAGTCGAGTGTGGTCAGCAGCAGTACCTGAAGGAAGAGCAGTTAAAAAAAACACTTGCATCAAAGCTAACTTCTGTCCTCTCTCATATTACACAACAGATTTCTCTTCAGCAGTCTCTCTTTGAAGTTCTTCTCAAAGACTTTTTTTTTCTTTAAAAGCCTTTAGGGTTAGTCTGTGCATTTAAGGTGACTTGTGATTTGTTATGAAGTGGGAATTCTTTAAGTCCATCCCAGAAACATTTAAACCAATGTTGTGATTGTTTTAGATAAAGGCAGCAAGAGGGTGTTAGTAATATTTAGCAATTCATTCAAAAGCATTTCTCTGAAAAACATTACATTCCCTATGTGACACTGATGCATCTCAAAAAGCATGCTCATCAAAACTCATTGAATATTAAGATACTTTAAAGGCTCCCAGATTATTAAACAGTTTAACTGTTTTTTTTTTTTGTTTTTTGTTTTTTAGCCTTAGTAGCTGTTATCCCAAGATTTTTACATAACAACCCAACAAGCATTTAGAGGATGCCAGTGTTCAGGGGGTCACCAATTCATGCTTCACTGACACGAGCACAAAAACCAAAATGTTATGGCACAGTAAAAACTGCTATTAACTTGCGTCAAAGATAACGACAAGCTTGGATAACAAAAAAATGAAATCTGAACTTTAATTTTCACTTACCCTTTTTAAAACTGGTGCAGGCTGTTGTATTAACATCCAAATTTAACATCAAAATGTTTATAGTGTAAAAACTGAGAATATCTACTTAACAAGTGTTTCATCCAGAGAAAGCTGTTCATCATGTATGAACCTGTTTACCTTCTCCACCATGACAGACAATAAGAAGGAAACATTTACTGTGGATTGGAGCAATGTAATGTTTACTTTTTTGGGTAGTAAAGTCTTCAAAATTCAAGAAGTTCCCTCCTGCTGCCACCTGGGGCCAACAGATTTGTTTTTGCAGTATCCAGCGCAGGTTTAAAGCCCCACTCCAGTGTATTTTAGCATTTTATATTTCATTTTTTTCTTGAGAATGTTGATTAGCCATACTGTTTGCAAAACATTTTTTGACAAATAACTTAATGATGCGCACAAAGATTAGAAAGTTGATGCTAAAAATGGGAAGATGATGATGGACTATAGAAAAGGCTGCAGGTTATACATCATCCTCCAAGCTCGCACAGCTGCACTGTCATGCATCTTTGCATCTGAGTGGCAAACTGATAGCCAACTAATCATTGACATGGGCACGAACCCACCAAGCCAAAAAAAATCAAGTCAGCAAGCTAACCGATTAGCACAAAGCACGCCCACTGAGCTGATGAACGATAGCTGATTTGACACTAAAATTGTAAAGGTACTTTTGGGACAGCTATTTGCGTTTAAATGACTGTGGCATAACAAAGTAATTTATGTGTTTTTATATTGTTAGAAAAGCTAAGAGAGCTTGTGGATTTTAGCAAACTCGCTGCTCAGCTGCTTGCCAATCTTGATCGTGCACATCTCCAGCTGGTGGCGGGTGAACATGAACTAGATTACTTAAAAGAACCAGTCTTCTCATCACTGGTGCACCGCGCTGGCTCTGCAGGTTGAGAAGCCATAGAGGCATCGGCACTGTCTCTCAAAATGCAAGCAATTGGTTCAAGTGCATATGGTCTGATCTCTTTGGTGTCCTCGTTTTCAGGGGAAGAAGGTGAAGAAAAATGCCTCACCTCAGAACTTATGTTACAGTGACTGCTATTGCCATCCATGCTAATACCCATGCTGAAACATATTAGCATTTGTTCAAGGCAATCTGGTAATGGATTACATCGGACTAGTTACCAAACCCCTATTCTCTGTTGGAGATAGAATGTTAACCAAAAGACAGTAAGTAACACTGGCTGGAGTGGGGCTTTAATTATCACTGTATGCTGACGATGCATGTGTATATTCTGAGGTGCTGAATGGACTTACAACAAAAGTATTTCCAAACTTGTGTACTTTAGGTCTATTGGTAGAGCAAGTCACTAAGAGCAGTTTATATACTTGCTTTTTAACAATGCATTCATTGAGATAAGTGGCTGTGATGGAAGCATCTTTGTTCATATATTTTCCTACATACTTTGAGTCTGCCTGGAGGATTATAAAGTGTGTCTGCTAGGTGGCAGATCAGAGTCAAATCATCCCTGGCTGACATCAGAATATCCTCCTTGAGAACATCCAATTTTTGAAACTAAAAATTTGTGACATTCAAGGGCACTACTCAATGGTTAATATTCTATTAGTTTGCTTTCAAAATCTTCCACCATTGTTGCCATCGTTTGTTCAAAGTCTGTTGCCCTGCACACAGTGTTTATGTTTCTAATTGCATCTCGCAGATGACTTGTTATTTTCAGATGGTGTGAAAAACCAATACTTAGAAGGATCACTGGATACACTGTGTGGACCTCATGCACACACATAATTGTTAAAAGCAAGTATATAAGCGCTCTGATCCTCACAGGGTCTCTGGTTGTATTCCTAACGTAGGCGCCAAGGACAAAAAAATGTCCATATAAGCTCTCTCCAGACATATGTGTGTCTCCTCTGCAGGGAAACTGTTGTGTAATTTTAACTCTGGTAGGTTGAAATGGAAAAGTCAAAAATCAGGATTACAAATTAAAAATGAATCTTGGAACTAACTTGGTGATAATAGTTGTATTATCCTGGCAGTGTTGTGTCCTACCTGAACTTGTAGATGTTGGTACAGTGGTGACAGTCACTGCAATGTTAATGGTGCTGAAAACAACGACTCTATGTCAACAATGATAATGTCATGTCGAACATGATAATGTACAGATAATGCATATGTCAACCACCCAATCGTGGGTCGAGGGCGAGGCTTCGCTTTCTCTGATTGGGTAATGGGTCAGTCCTTTGTCGTTGAGGTAAAATAACAGTTACAAGTGGTGCGCTGGTTATATATCAACTTGAACAAAAACATGTTAAAAAGTAAACAGTGAGTTTAAAAACTCAAATCATCTTTTATTAATTGATGCAAGTATTTATGTTTATTTATTTTTGTATTTGTTTTATATCTATTTATCTATTGTTTACTCACTCGGTGGCCATGTCTTTGGTATGACTCTTATATTAAGATGTAAAAACTGAAAATAGATTTTTTTTTACTCATTCTATATATCTGTATATACCAGAGTGGCGCTATACTAGGACGTGTATGTATGAGTATGTGTGCTTTGGTTTGTATGTATGTATCGTATGTACAGTATGTATGTAAGGATGTGCTCTAAGTTCTTTTGATAATGCTGCTTAAACATCCTCTGAGTGAACGAGCAGAAAAATATACCAGTGGTGAAAATATCTATGATGCTGTTAAAAAAAAAAGAAAAAAAAAAGAGCTCAACAAGCTGTGTTGATAACTGTAGATGGGAACAATACTGTAGTAAACATGGCTGAACAGCCGTCCAAATAAACTGCTGTGTCTGTTTTCTGTTACGCCGTTAGAGGCAGAAAGTAATTTTCAACGAATGGTGTTTGTCAAAGTCAAGGAAGGATCCTTAAACAGCTGCATTTCAAGCAGGCTACGTCATCAAATCTTGCAGAAGGACTGTTCCAATGTCAAGGATCCTTCAAATGCTGCTGAGGACTGAGTTCTTCCTTCAAAGAATTTTCAAGGATGCATATGGATCCTCAACGGACATGAAGTACCCGCAATTCTTTGTGCACAATTTGCCTGAATTGAAGGCAGGGCCTCTTCGTGACGCAAACCTGTTGCAAAGTGTGCTCACCGAATGCTAGGAAGGAGTCTTGCCTAGCTTCTGTAGGACCGAACTTGGAAGGGTCTGTCCTACCAAGGAATCATCCTTGATTTTGAGAAGCATTGGTCAGTGGTTTTTGGTTTACTTCCTCAGGTTTAGGCAACAAGAATCATGGCTACATCATCATGGTTTGGCTTAAAGTAAGTGTTTGTTACTAACATAATGTAACCTCACCTGGCATACGTCACTTGCATAGTATGCTAAAAATGCTAGCATATTACATTGTTATTAAAATACCTCCTCTGACTTTTGGTTTCACAAGGGACAAAACAGGCATCTCCCGAGTGAAAGTCCTCTGTCCAAAGTTTGGGCCATTGACTAAGAGTCAGTATTTGACAAGTTGGGACTGAGACCGGGTTGTGACTATATACTCACAATTGTCACCTATCAGCCAATAGCCATAGGTATATATAGAACAGTATACTCGCCTCCTCCTCTGTAATCTTCCAGTATACCCACCTCATCGACTACCACTACACCATTGATTAGATGGTTCCAAAATAAAAAAAAATATATATATTTTATTTATTATTAAATTAAAAAACAGGTTCTACAAAACTTCTTTATTTAGTTTGCCATTAGCTCCACTGGGACAAAATGTGATTGGCTCTGACTGGCTGTTCCTACCGACTGTGGTTATTCTGTACGTTTGGACCCAACTTGGTCTTACTACAAAGTCATTGAAAACCTGTGCTTAGTCAGTGACTCTCAGCGTTAAACACCAGGGCAAACACAGCGGGACAACAACAAACATTAGGGTGGCAAAAGTCCAAATGGCTCCAGCAACACTTGTGGTCTGACAAACAACTTTATTGACCGACGCGTTTCGGCTTGTGGCCTTCATCAGGGTCATCCTAGTCACAAGCCGAAACACGTTGGTCAGTAAAGTTGTTTTTCATATCACAAGTGTTGCTGGAGCTCTTTTGACATTTTCCAGTGTTTCCTCACTCTCCATGCACTTTGTGAATCGGTGAAGTTGTGCCAGAAACCACTTTTTACTTCAAGAAAGTCCGAATGGGGCAGCTGAAAGGAGAGGTGGATGGGTCCAACGACCATTGACTTTCACTCGTGAGGCAGGTGTGTGCTTCCCATGTGACTGTAATGTCAAACCCTGTTCTTTTTTCCTAAACCCAACCACATGCTTTCGTTGCCTAAACCCAACTGTATGCATGCGATAATAGCAACAACAACAGCGTTGTTGCAAAAGCGTAGCGCCCACCCTCCTGTTCCCCCCCTAGGTTAAGACTGTTAGCTCCATCAGCACTGTTGCCATTATTAGCACTGGCTGGCTCATCCACCTCCAAGTTGAAAGCTGTGTGCAGAAAATTCTAGCCTGGTCTCAGTCCGAAGTCGTCAAACAACAGCGCTTGGGCAGTGATCTCCGGCGTTAGACGCAGACAAAAAAAGCCATCCTTTCATGTGGGCATGGTACGAGGCCTGTCACCGTTATTGTTTATTGGTGCCCGGTGGCGTCAGGGGGACACACGGCGGAACAACAACAAAAGTTAAGGGGGTGAGAAATCCAGGTGGGCAGGAGGGACAGGAGACTGGTCCAACAACCACAGACTTTCAACCAGGAGGCCAGTGTTTGCTTCCTGTTTGAATGTAAAGCCAAACTCTAGTATTTTTTCCTAAACCTAACCACGTACGTTTGTTGTTGAAGGAAAAAAATGTCAATTTGCGGTGTAGTGCGTTTATTTTGGAAGAGACTGTATGCAAACTGAATGTTTCCTGTGAGAACAGAAGTGTACTCTGAAAGAAGACAATGTGTGCTGAAGTTGACACAGTGTCCCAGAACGATAAACAACCAACACACCCAAAGTACCTCACCTGTCATATCTTGACGTGTAATGTCCATGACCAAACGACAATACATGACAAGGAGTGCGAATGTGTTGTTGGACCGCACTGAGGAGATTCCTGGTGTGAAAGTGGAGTGAGGTGGAGCTGAAACCGAAGCTGGAGCTGCACCAACCCTCTCCCCTGAATCTTCCCTCCCTGTTTCTCTTGTCTCCTCTCAGCTCTCCTCCGTCTTCTCTCTCGAGGCGACAACACAAAATCTCTCCCTCAAACCAACATCCTTTGATCTCTCCATCTCTCTCTCGCATCAACATCCCTCCATCCTGAGGATTTGTTGTTTATTTGGTCGGCGTCTCTGGAGATCCAGCGACCAAACAACAATCTATCCTCCTCCTCTCTTTCTCTTCTCTTTGCTTTTTCTTTGCTTTTCTTTTTGTTTTGGGGTTTTCAGTCTGATTTTTCTTCCTCTTTCTTCATTTACTTCACAGCAGACAGAAGGAGGACAGGGCTGAGTATTCCTCCTCTTTTATGTCCTTTTGTTCTTCGTTTTTGCCCTTTCTCTCCCCTCTTTTTACTTTTTTTGTCCCTTCTTGCCTTTTTTATTCCTCTGCTCTTTATTTCTTTCCTCATATTTTCCAACTTTGGCCTCTTTTCCCTCTCACTTCCTCTTCCTCCTCAAAGTATTCATCCTTTCTGCATGTCCTCAGCCCTTCTTTCACCTTCCTTTTTGTCTCACATCCTTTCCTTTTCTCTTTCTGTCTCACCCTATTTCTTTTGTCCTCCTGTTCTTTCACTCTTTGATTCCTAGCAATCCTTCCTTCTTTTCATTACTGTCCACTATTGATTTATTTGTTCTTTCTGTCTTTCTTTGTCCTCTTTCGGTTCTTCCAGCCCCTCTTTTCCTTTCCTTTCTCGTATACTTCCTTTCTTTGATGTATTGCATTCCCATCCTTTCATCCATTCCTCCATTTCTTCTTCTTTTTCTCCTGTTCCAGTCTTCATCCCTCTTACTTCATCTTCTTTCTTTCCTTCCTTCCGTCCTCTCTTGTCCACCTCTTCGTCTCTCTCCTTTGTTCCTTTATCTCCCCTTCCACTCTGCTCTTTCAACTTTTCTTCCTCATCTTATAGCTGTGTCTTTCTTCTTCTCCTCACACTGCTTTTTGGCCATTCCTCTCTCTTCATCTTTTCCCTCCCCTCCCTCCTCTTCCTCTTCCACCTGTCTTCTCCTTCATGCTTATTTTCCTCCTCGTTTTTCCCTCTCCTCTTGCGTCAGACCTCATGTGCGATTTTGAAGTGTGGGGTCTTTTAAGGATGCTTCTTCTTTGATATCGCTGATGCACACACACACACACACACACACACAGATGTACATGCATAAATTCAAACATAATACACCCAATACACACACACACACACACACACACACACACACACTTTTCAAAGATATAGAGTTGATGCAGCACCAAAACATATCAAGGTCTGACGTACTTTGAAGTTCACACAAGCATGATTGATGTGTGTGCGTACATGTGTGTGTGTGTGCGTGTGTGTGTGTGTGTGTGTGTGTGTGTATGCATGTGTATGCATGTGCGTGTGTGTGTCAAAGAGAGAAAACATCAAGAGCAGGTGAGTACATGCGTACTAATGTATATGTGCCTTTACTTTGTATATCTGTGAAATGTGTGTATGTAGGCTACTGTGTGTGTGCATGTGTGTGTGTGTGTGTGATTTGTATGTGTGTACGTGTTGTACACGTTCAAGTAGTATTTACTCTGTCTGTGTGCATGTGACCGTAGGTGTATTTATCAGTATACTATAAATAAATAAATAAATATAATACATATTAACTCTCATTTTAGCTTTTTTAACCATGAATAATTTACATAAACAAATAGGTTCATGTTGGAGAACTTTTCACGTTAGTGCAAACTCCCTAATTCTCCAAATTAAGACTTCATTTCCCATCAGCCCTGTCACTCCTCACCTTGGTTTTCTATCCTATCTTTCCTATTCCCATTACTTGATGACAAGAACATTGTTGCTGCAGGTACTGGTGCTAAAACTCCTACGATGACCGACAGCACAACATTGTGACGCTCCAGGAAATACACCCTACCAAAATAAGAGTCCTGTTTGGCCACTGACATCAGCTGTAGCTCTACACTGGCAAATCACCCAGCACTGGATTTTACTCAAGAGCAGTTGCAGCTACAAAGAAGTGATGAAGCTTGTAGCTGGATGTGTGGTGGATGAAATGCTGCTCCACAAGTGGCTCACCGTCTGTCAGGCAGAGGCGTGGGAGAATCCCAGTTCCAGGCAACGGAAGACCTCTAGGTAAAAAAATAAAAAATCATACCAGCAATTACGAGTCACCAGTTTTATGGGGTGTAACGAAAAAATAATATAACGAGTAGTGTAACAAATTACTGTTGGCAGGGAACAATAAGTAAAGTAATATCATTACTTTTGAAAGGACTAACGAGTAATGTGTAATGTATTACATTTTTAGAATAACGAGCCCAACACTTCTTTTCTTCCACCTTCAAATAGAAACACAGAGAGTTTCAGCTTCGTGTGTTCTGGAAGAATCTGCTTGGCTATCTGCTGAACTACATCCCGACATTCCCTCAGAGGTTAGCGCTGTCTTGGCGGCTTGCTAATTACATAGGACTTAACTTTTTAGATGGCTGCTGCCTGAACATTGTTTAGATCTCCTTCTTTCTATGATGCAGAACGAACACAGGACTGAGTGTAGAGGAGCGACCGATACAACCCAATCTCACTCCAAAGTTGGTCAAATCTGGCGCTAGGGCAGGAACTTCTGACGTCAGACACCGATGAAAAAAGCTGTCCTTTCACATTGGCATGATAGGCGACTGGCAGTGTCTGAGGGAAACGTGGTTGGACAACAATGAACATTAAGGTGGCAGAAGCCCCAGTAAGGTGGGTGCGGGAGGTGGTGGATGGATCCAACAACCACCGACTTCCCCCAGAAGGCTGGTGTTTGCTTCCTGTAAGATTATACAGCCAAACACTATTCTTTTTTCCTGAACCCAACCATGTGTGTGTTGGCAAATCGTAACCACGTACATTTGTTATTGAAGGAAAAAAGGTCAATTCACTGTGTTGTACTGACGTGGTGCCTGTATTTTGAAAGAGACTGTATGCAAACTGTAAATTTCCTGTGAAAACAAAAGTGTATTTTGAAAACAGACAAAACTTGTAACAGGCTGAACTTGACACGGCGTCCCAGAACGTCAACAACCAACACACCCAGGGTGCCCTGCACATATCCAATAACTCAGCAGTTATTTAAATACTATATTACTTAATTGAGAAATTAGACTCACAAGTCAGCCTTTAGACGCTTTGCTTAACTAAAGACTGATGTGACGTCTTTCTCCCTGATTTTGTGTTTAGATGGGCGGATACAATTTCAGAGTTTAAAAAAACTCCCTACGTTGCAGAACCAATAGTAAATCCGCAGGGCGGTCCTTTGGTGGCTCGCTGAACTCTTGTGCTCGTAAACATAGTCCCACTAGAAACATGTGTAGCGGTACAAAATGGCTCAAGTCGCTGTAAGTCCTTTGTTTCCACAATCTTGTGGACTGAGCACACGTTTGATAAAACAGAGTTAAATCTCTCGGCATCCATTTTCAAGCTCTCTGTGTGTTTGTTTCCTTGCGGACGAGAAAAGGGGGAGCGCACATTTCCGGGAGGGCGTGTCCTTTTCAAAAATGCAAGAGGCGTTGCTTTGTTGCCGGCCGTTTTCACCAGTGTGTTAAACACACTTTAGAAAGGAGTGTCCCCAGACTATCAGAAGGCGGAGATCTCTGATTGTCTGGTGGCGAGACTACTGAGAAATAAACTTGACTTGTTGAAAACAAACAACAGTAGTAGTCTGTACATTCTGATGTTCTCCAGTTAGGAGTGCACCACAAAATTTGACAGTGTGTTTCCCAGCAACACTGGCTCTCAGCATAGACTGTGAAAATAATGGACGAAGCTACCATGAGGTCAGCTATTGGTTTGTGGACTCCTGTTTTGAAACCCAAGGTTCGGCATTTCTGCCGTCACCATCTTGTTTTTTAGAGCCAGAAGTCACCTTACTTGGGTGAGAGGTTGGAGCTGTGGAGGATCGAGGAGTGGATCTGTGATCTCCCCTTAATTGTGCGTAACTTTAATCTTTAATAAAATGTAAATGACAGAGTAATATAAAAATTCATCCCCCATGCAATTGTCATGAATGTTGAAATTAGCTATAGAGGCCAAAACCATTTTTTGTACCAGGCTGTAAACATGTTTATTTCTGCTGTTAAATTGGACATCGTAATATGGGGATCTATGGAGATTGACTGGCTTCTGGAGCCAGCCTCAAGTGGCCATTAAAGGAACTGCAGTTTTTGGCACTTCCAATTTGGCTTCATTTCTCAACCATGGAGGCTGATGTTTGGATCTTAGATGTCAGTCAACTGTTGCCATGGGAAACACCCTCCGAGGCTCTTGGCTGTAGCTAAAAACAAAAACACACTGCTGCCACAGCGTCGCTCTTGTTGCACTCCGGCGCATCAGCATTAGTGATTGCTATTTTTACTGAAGTAAAATATCCGAGGACGTCTTCCACCTCTGCTTTGGCTTAAAATAACATGTTGACATCAACTAATTAAATTTAACTTATCACCTGAAGAGTCAATCTCCAGAGCTGCGGTTCTTAGTTTTACCCTCTTTACAATAAGAATCAGAATCAGAAATACTTAACTGATCCTCAAGGGGAAATTGTGCTTCTTTGCACTGTATAAACTGGTATAAATAGTGACAGGATTGTGGGTCATGTAGCTATATTTCTATTTTTCTCTCTGTTTTACGACCTCACCCAGTCTCTCCTCATCCATCCTTTGACATACACGAGAGACAGCAGCAGCAAGAGGTGAGCAGAGAAGAAGAGCTGCAACAGGAGCCACGATGCACAAGCAGTGAGGGAGTGGGAGACAAATTCATTTCTTCATGGTAGTGAGGCTGGATATAGGACAGTGGCGTGAAGTGTTGTGGGGCAGTGCGACCATTAACATGAGAGCGCACGTAGCTGCCGCCAGTGTAGGGACTGTACATAGAAACTGTTTTGATGCACGCCATTTGGTGGCGGTGTGTTTTGGCCTTTAGACACCCTTTAAACAATCATGTCTAAACTGGTCTTATCCCATCTTAAAGAAATTAACAACATGCACAACAGCTGCAGAAAGTGAAACTGCATTTCAGTTCAGTGTTAATAACCTAAAGTTTTTTTCAGTTTTGGGATCCAGAGATTAAGTTACATGTTTTTCTTGAGGATAAAATAAAAAAACGACATGTTTTAAGTGTTCGTCTGTCACGTAGGGTCAGTGGAAAATCTGAGTGCGGTGCTTAACTTTTGATTCGTCCTCTGTTCATTTCGACACAGTTAAGCCTCCGGTCAAGTCTCTCAGGGCTTAGAGAGACAGACAGACAGACAGACCGAGGGAGACAGACAGGCCGAGAGCAGGACAAGAAAAAAAACACTCAAAAGATAAATGCCCTGTCTTTGTCTTCCGTTGCCTAGGTAACTGGACGATCGTTAAGCCGTTAGCCCTTCGGTCACCATGACAATAGGTGTGTGTGTGTGTGTGTGTGTGTGTGTGTGTGTGTGGGGTGTATGTGTGTACATGTTCATGTTCAAGTAGTATTTACTCTGTCTGTGTGCATGTGATCGTAAGACGCTTACTGTGTGTCTGTGTGTGTGTATGTGTGTGTGTGTGTGTGTGTGTAAAAGGTCACAGGTTTGATGTCGTCTCTTCTGCCGCCACCAGTGTCCTGCTGAGACGAAATATGTCTTTCCTTCCTCTCCTCCTCATCCTCCTCCAGTTAGTCTTTGTCACAGCGCTGCCTCCCTGTGGTCAAACCTTCTTACTGCAACTGAAGACTTCCTACATACCCTAAATATTTACTCCTAAATGTTGAGCTCTACAGACTAAATCATCTTTGAATCACAGAGGGTGACAGCTACTGAGGCATGACATTTGCAGCTCAGAGAGTTGCGCAGCAGCAGTTTTGCACTTTGTGTAATTAAATTCTACATCTGCCCTAAAGGCTGGCAAGATAATAAATTCAGGAAAATTATTGTCTGTCTTAATCTCTAGATTCTCCTCTCAATTTGAACCTGAAGTTTCTTCTATTTAATCAGTGCTTAGTCTTACTCACTGACTGTAGACTGTGGCTATAAGCCTGCCTTTAGGCCGCTGGTTTCGGCCACCATTCTCCCTCCCTCCTTCTATCTGATGTTACTGTTTTCCAAATCCCAATCCCTACCTACAACAATCCAAGAGCTAACAACCTACAAACTGAAAATGGCAGTTTTAAGAAGATCTGGATCATGCAATAAGGCATGCCTGCTTTGTTCTTTGGGTGAATTGTAATGATCTATTTTCAACCATTTATCCAAAGCCAGGTCGCGGGGGCAGCACGCTAAGCACAGTACTCCAGACATCCCTCTCCCCAGCAATGTTTTCCAGCTTCTCCTGAAGGTTCCCGAGGCAATCCCAGGCCAGACGAGCTATGTAATTCCTCCAGTGCCCAGCCACCCTTGGGAGGAAACTCATTTCAGCCGCTTGTATCCGTGATCTCATTCTTTTGGTCACTACCCGCATCTCATGATCATAGGTGAGGGATGGGACGTAGATGGACCAGTAAATCAAAAGCTTTGCCTTCTGGCTCAGCTCCCTCTTCACCACGACAGTCTGACACAGTGCCTGCATCACTGCAAATGCTGCACTAAACCGCCGATCCATCTCACGCTCCATTCTCCTCTCACTCGTGAACAAGACCCTGAGATACTTCGGTTTCCAGCAGAGAACCATGGCCTCAGATTTGGAGGTGCTGACTGTCATCCCAACTGCTTCACACTCGCCTGCAAACTGCCCCAGTGCATGCTGGAGGTCACGGTGTGATGAGGCCAACAGAACCACATCATCTGTAAAACGAGGAAAGGAGGAAAGCCTGAGGCAGAGAAAGCATACCTCCCTGCCCTTCCATGCGCCTACATGGAAAGCCTAAGGCAGAGAGAGCAGCATCAATGACAGAAAGGACATTGATAAGTCAGACACAGCATAAAAAGGAGGAGCTGGGGTGGAGGCAGGTTGCAAAGCGTCTTGCAGAGGAAGCAGCAACAGTAGGCAGGCCAGAGCAGTTTAAATAGGGTGCCCTGAATGAGATTTACCAACTGGTTGCATAGAAAGGAATCATGTGATCTGTTTGAGATCAGCTGGTGTAGCTGGGATGAGCTGAGTTTGACACCATGTCCTGTCTGAACTAACGCTATGCTCAATCTAGTAAAAAAAAATATTTTAAAGTGTAAATCACATAAAACAAGGTTTAATTACAGGTTAATTTTGAGTCTGTTATCGGTGCAGAGAGAGAATGGGCCTTATCAGTCCCTGGTGGAGTTTCCTCTCGGACAGGAAGTGGACTTCCACTGCTTCCTGTTCTCTTTTGAGTGTGTGTGTGTGTGTGTGTGTGTGGCCCCAGGAGAGGTCTCAAAAGAACAATCAGTGTAGAAAGAGAAAGAACAAGAATGAAGCGGCCGACTCAGAAGCCAAAATAACTTGGACAGAGAGAGACGGAGACAGAGAGGGAACGATGGAAAAAACAACTCTGAGACAGACACAAAGACAACAAAAGACAAACTGAAACAAAAAATTCATTCAGGAAGACTGTGGCCAGGACCAGGACTCATCTGACCCACAACAGGACCAGAACAGAGGAACCACGATGGACTATGAACCCAAGAAATCCAAGAAGGTACAGCAGCTCCTGTTCTGTTTCTAAGTTTCTACATATCATTTTGTTAAAGTCATTTGGACGTGGATGATTTGTCTCTGAACCTTCTCCTGAGTACATTTTGTAATATTTCATTGAACTTGAAATTAGGACTTATTATTTTGGAGCAGAAGACTTGCTGATTTTGTTTCAGTTCCGAAAGACTAACCAATCAAGCTTGAGTAAAGTCATAGAGAGAGATCCATTTAGTGTCATTCTAGTTGTGCATCTGAAGCCCTGCCCCCTTCAAGCAATCCTTAGATACAAACAAACACAGGTTTCAGGCCCAGTCACACCAGCATTTGAAATAGCAAAATTTGTGGCAAAATCAACTAATATCAGGTTTGGTAAACTGTTAAGTTAAGCTATTGACCCATTAGTTCGTTAGCCCTGAGCGCTGAGTGTACTGTAGATTGAGAAAACACCTGCAAACAGACTCAACACAAGCAAATGAAGAAACATCTTCATCAACCTGACAACGTTCAAAAACATCAATTCGACAATACATACGCAGCATTTAGAACAAGCGCTACAGGGAGTTCACAGCACAGCATTCTCAGGGTTTAAACAAAACATAAATTTGAACAAAATGTATCGTACCATTGGCAACGTTTTCTAACTAGTAATCATATCCTCCAGTAGCTTCTTTGCATATGACATCACACATCAGTGCACCGTCCAGATGGAGGTCAGGCAGCTGAAGGCAAAGACTACCAACCCGGCTTAAATACCCATGATTTGTGCTGTTTACGGCTGTTCTTACTGACCAAATTGCAAAAAATCAAGGCCCATTTTAAGTCCCTACAATAGTAGGACATAAAGGGGAGAAATTCAAAACAGAAAAACAAAGTCTCAATGAGAAACAGTTGCAGGTGTGGATCGAAAACCTCCGTCTTCGGTCTAGAGGAGTGGAGTCAGGTAATGTCAGATGTAAGCATTAAGGCGTTGTGTTAAACCTGCCTCAAGTTGGATGGAATTTCAATGTGCTGTGACAACTTCTCTGTGTTTTTAGCCACTATTCAGATTTTTAAAGATTTGGGTTAGGGTTTTTTTTTTGCCTTTATTAGAAAGGAAAGCGCAATCTCTGCGTAAAAAGGGCTAAAGATAAACTCTCTTCAACATTCTGGTTTGACCAACCAAAGACAACAGCTGATTTAAAAAATTAAAAAGCATACGAAAAAATTCTTTAATAGGGAGAAAAATGCAAAGATATAAGAAGGGGAAAAAAACATTATTAACTAGCTCCATAGCACCTTGGTCTGACCTGGACAAGTTGCTACATTAAGCACATTCATTACAAAATCCAATTATTTCTCTCTTCCTGTCTCCTCAAAGAAACACTGGAACAAGAAGAACTAAAACTCATTATAACTATCCTCTGTCTTACAATTAAATTTAGCTGACTACAGAGATGTTCATCAGAAACTTGCTTCATTCTGATACGTAACAATCTGTCCTTGTTCTCACTCCGAGAGGAAGACAAGACAGGTTTCTGGTTCTAAAACAAGCTCATTTGCTCTCTGTATTCGGTGTGTGAGTTTGTGCTATAACGTCCATCGCCTTGTGCCTTCCAGCCCCAGTATATTAATGTGTTTTGGTGTGTGTGTGTGTGTCAGTGGGTGTCTAACAGTGTGTGCTGTGTTGACAGTGAGTCTCAGCAGGGAGCTGTCAGAGATCACTGCTCACCTGTCAATCACTGTTGGAACAGCCAAGGGGATGTACTGCATTAACACACACACACACACACACACACACACACACACACTGACGCATGTACATACAAACAAATTAATCTGCTGTGAAGTTCTAGTTCAAATTCAAACCCAAACCAGTGACTGCTGTGTTAATTACAGCCTGAATACTAAAGTGTTGGACAAAATAAACATGCAGATGATGCAGCCGTTCTTTAAACCTGTTTACACTCATTTTTAAAATGTGTTCAGTGATCCGAACACGTGGAGAGCCGAGACACATCGCTGTTGACACCTGTGTCTTTTTAAGATGTGTCTTGGTAGACAAGTGAACAGCACTGAATAGAAGTGTAAACAACCAGCAAGACTCATAGTGATCTGATCACTCAAACCACTTCCTGAGGTGTTCTGGGACACATTTGACCACACATCGTTTGTAGTGTAAACGTTAAGGCGTACTAATGCATCTCCGACAAGGACTTTGTCATCAGTTAAGGACATGAAGGTTGTTTTGGTGACATTGTGCTAACGCTCTGTAACTTGCACATTTTAGGACGATTTAGATGAAGTGTTGGCTGAATGTTTGTCATTTGTCTTATCTTCTTCTCTGCCCTCATGTCTATGCTCGCGTCTCTTTCTCCACAGGGTTTTGTCTCCCCTATTAAGCGGCTGGTCTGGTCAAAATCTGCTCGCAGGCAGGTGGATCGTGGCAGCGTTTACCGCCGCCCGCTGCACACCGTCCCCCTCTACCCCCCCGACTACCTCATCCACCCTGAGAGACTCATCTTCGACTACGTAGAGAAGGAGGTCAAGGTAGCACTTGATATACACAACAATACAACACAATACTTTAAAATCACCATGACAACAGTTGCTTGACCTTTCACCTCTCACCTCAGTTTCTTGGTCACCTGACCTGGGTGTCTGTTTCACTGAACCCCTCCAGCCGAGACGAGCTGCTACAGCTGCTGGACACAGCCAGGGTTAGTAATCAATAACTTATCTATGACTAATCACTGCCAAGTTTAGTTATAAATAACTTATCTATAACTAATCGCTGCCAAAGTTAGGTATCAATAACGTATCTATAACTAACCACTGCCAAGTTTAGTTATCAATAATGTATCTATAACTAACCACTGCCAAAGTTAGGTATCAATAACGTATCTATAACTAACCACTGCCAAGTTTAGTTATAAATAACGTATCTATAACTAATCACTGCCAAAGTTAGTTATCAATAACATATCTATAACTAACCACTGCCAAGTTTAGTTATCAATAACATATCTATAACCAACCACTGCCAAAGTTAGGTATCAATAACATATCTATAACTAACCACTGCCAAGTTTAGTTATCAATAACGTATCTATAACCAACCACTGCCAATGTCAGTTAGCAATTATGTCTATAATATAATGAAACACTTCTGAGGGTTAGTGATGAACAATCAATCAATAACTGAAAACAGCCAGGGTTAATAATCAATATAGGCTACTATCAATAACTAATCACTGTTGGGGTAAGTAATTAATAACCAATAATGTACCTACTGTATCTATAACCTATAGTTAATCCAAGCCGGGGTTAGTGAATAATAACCGATACGCAACCACCATGATCAGTAAATGTATCTTTACCTTAAGTGTAGGGGTTAGTGATCAATAACCTATCTATAACTAATAAACTTGGGGGTTATTCATCAATAACCTATCTATGCACTGTATACTACTACTACTATCAGTGTTGCTGACAGTTATCAATACCCAACCTATAACCACCTGATTAAACATAGTCTTTACATAGCTGATTACAATCTCTGACTCACTGATCAATAATCTATAATCACATGTCCCTGTGTGTGGGTCAGTAGCAGCTGAAGGTGCTGCCGTTGAAGACCAGTGTGGATCAGGACTGTATTCTGAGTCTGTCTGCTCGCTGTCTGCTGCTGACGTGGAGAGACAACGAGAAGCTGCTGGTGAGGATTCCCACACACGAGATCGCTGCTGCCTCCTACCTGAGGGACGACGCACTGCACCTGCTGGTCCTCAAGACAGGTGAGGACACACCTGTGGACCAGACACTGTTGCTTTACTGGGTGACCATGAAAGTTCAGGGTGTAACACTGAAATCGTAAGCAACAGAGGACTCTGGAGGGCTGGCCATAACATGCAACATGAGGGTAGCATGGCTAACAGGGTGATGAGCTAACAGGCTAACACTAGCTTTCATGCTAATCTTTTTGTGACAAACGCTGTATTTCATTTACATCGAAAATAAGAGCACGGAATGACGTCATACCTGAGCTTTGTACTACAAATCCGTACACCAAGACAATACCAGTTCTAGCCAGGTTAGCAATTGTAGCGATATGAGTTGCTAACAACACTTTAGCAGTGTTATGAACATAGAAACACCATGGCAACACGTCCACAGATAGACGTTGGACAGTACTGTGTGTTCAACTGATCTCGGAGACACAAATAAGACAGAGATGCTAATAAACAGTGTATTTCTACAGCTCTCATTACTGTTGATGTGCAGAGCAGCCATCTTGGATTCTGCGATTTGGGTTGGTGAAGTTCAGGCCCCCACGAAGAGTGCTGAGCTTTGAAGCCAATTTTCCTAGTGGTCAAACAGTGGTACTGCAGTTGCCAGGGTCTGTCCCATTATGTCATTGGACCTTAAAAGAATTTTTCCCATAGACTTACATTGGGGAAGAGACGTCTGTAAATAAGTATATTTTCTTTGACTGTCATAACTACTGCGAAATGACTCATTCTTGGTGGGCGGGGCTTAGCTGGAGGCAAAACAATTCTCCACAGACATTACCCAGCACTAGCTAGCACGTTCTATTGGCTTGTTTTAGTCAATGGAGGAAGTCATGTCCGGTCACTCACTCTCCGGGACCACGAGTGTTGCTTGAAAAACTAAACACTGACCAACTGTACCAGACTGGCCGACCCGTATGCTCTCACTCAGTGGATGGATGATGTCACAGGAAGCCAATCTTACAAAGGAGGACTTCACTTGTTTGTTTTGCTATGGAAGCTAATGTTAGCTAATGTGCTAAAAAAGTTAGCGTTCCACAGAAATCCAATATTCCTCGTAATCCCTCCCCAGTTTCTGATGAGGTGGACATGATAACCCTTAATACACATAACGTTATTCATCCCTACAACAGGAAATACTTTTTCCCTTTTTGATGATGGCCTCCGTCCAGTCCTTTGGTCTTATCACATTTAACCATCTTTGTTTTTGTTGACGGGCAGTGGCGGCTGGTTTTGAGCCATGACTCCTTCTATTCTGGCTCCCAATAACACAACAAGACCAAACTTTAAGACTCCTATGTAGCCTACAGCTCTGTGGTGGAGTCATGTTTTGCCCCCAGCTAACAAACTGGCGTCATTGTGACGTTGGCCCGAAAAGGGTCTATATTCATGGTGAGGTTCCTCCAATTTTCCGAGACAGAATTCCAACCTCAGGGGTTGTTCAGTTAAAATTTCAGACTGAGAACTCTTTTCGTCACATTTGCTGAAAATGTCTCTACATCCACACAGAACTCAAAAACAAAATTAAAAGATCAGGCAAAGATCAGGAGGGTCCTCTGGCTCCTTGTATTGCTAATAATGGCGTTACCACATGTGAACGAAAACAACCAATCAGAGCTCTCTGAAATGTAGCTGTCAATCACTGCTCGTGAACATCAGACTGTCAGCCTAGGCAGCACTGATCAAATATGAATCAAGATTCTGTCACTGCATCAACTATTTCTCACCTCAAATGTCTTCGGAAACATATTTTAGTGTACTGTTTAGCTGTGAAATCAGAAAGATTGTGTTTGCGTGTGCCGCCATGTTTGATACAGTTGCGCCTAAATAAAGCACCACCCACTCACCGGAGCAAACTTTATCATTTAACAGCTAAACAGTACACTAAAATATGTTTCTGCAAACATCTGAGGAGAGAAAAAGGCAATGCAGTGACAGATTCTTGATTCGGATCTGATCAGCTACAGTTAACATTTTTTGTTTGTTGTTTATCTTTGGTTTTGCGAGAGTGAAATTAAGTAGGATGTGCCATCTCTTCTTCTATGAGCGAGACAGTGTGCACATTTTTAAACCCTCATCCCGCAGGTCTGAACGTGGATACAGTGGTTGCTGGGGACGACAGCCTGGACAGGAAAAAGCCAACTGGCATAGATGGCAGACGTCAAACCATGAGCGGCAACGCTGACCCTCGGCCTGCAGGGGGCACCATGGAACGACGCCACACCATCTGTGGAGTCGACTGGAGGCCATCACTGTCCAGGAGTAACCACGACAAAAACCAGAATGTGGAGAGGGGGGGTGGAGGAGGTGGGAGTGAAAGAGGAGGGGGAGAGAGAGGAGGAGGAGGGAGTTTGGAGAGGAAGAGGGTGGGAGGGAGCTGGGAGAGGAGGCAGCAAACACGCAAAACAGGAGGGAGCTGGGAGAACCGCAGAGCGAGACCCATGAGCGGGAGCTGGGGGGTGGGGGTGGGAGGAGGTGGTGGAGGGAGCTGGGAGAGGAGGCATGGAGGAGGTGGAGGAGGTGGGAGCTGGGAGAGGAGAGGAGGAGGTGGCGGTGGTGGGGGGAGCTGGGAGCGGCGGCAGGCCTGCACGGGAAGCTGGGAGCGGGGGAAGAGCTACGGCAGCTGGGAGAGGAGGAACCACAACCCACTGGAGCCGACGCCCTGCCCTGACGCCTACTGCAACCTGGTCATCCTGGCTGTGGAGAACAGGGTGGGTCACATGTAGGGTTTTGGAGGGGGGGCTTAAAGATATGGAACAAAGTGCATCTTGTATCAGTTCGATAGCCTACAAATTGCGCTTTATCCATTTTACGGGATGATGCCATTATTCCGAGGCAATTGGTGACCCAAAGTTACTTTACAAACTAACTCCATATTTTTCTTTGTCACTCACACTAAGTTGGTTTAATTTACCTCAGTTTAGCGATTACATTTCTCCCGCTAGCCCAAGCTAATAAAGCACTGGGATCAAGGGTTGTTTTTGTTTTATCAGAACAAAAATCAGGAAGTTAAGAAATAGTTTGACATTTTGGAAAAAAATGCTAATTCATGGTCCTTCCAAGAGTTACATGTAAACACCTACAACACACGTTTATGTTTGTTAAGTACAGAGCTGGACACGGGAGATATTTAGAGGTGCTTTGGGATGTAGCCAGCTAGCTGTTGCCCCTTTTCTAGTCGTTATGCTAAGCTAGTCTAACCATGTCTTGACTCCAGCTCCATACCTTACACACAGACATGAGATTGATATCAATCTTTCCATGTTACTTTGAAAAGAAAGAAAATGAGCAAATTTGCTCACATGATGAAGTATAACTTTTAACTCAACGTACAGATGAAGATACTCAAATTTGTGTGTTGAGTACCAACAGTGGCAGCATGGTTTTCTACATTACCTCCGCCCACTTCAAATTTCAGACCAATCACACAGTAGTTCTTGGACACCACACAAGAAAAAAGTTCTGCCCAGATGATGTGTCAAGAACAAGCTGCAAGAACTCCCAAACCAGGGCTGCAAGAATAAAATGACATCATTTTTTTCTTGCAGCCCTGCGAGAGAGAACAAATTTCTCTGTTCTTGCAGAGTATGTGAAGGCCTTTAACCAGCCAGTAACTCATGCGGCATTTGTAGATAATTGCAAGCACAGCTGTTCTCGGCCTTCAGTGTCCGATAATCCACTGCTAACATTCTCATCACGTCTCATCTCATCGATGAAAACGAAACATAGATTTTTTCTTAGTTTTTAGTATCAAGATGTATTTTTATCTCGTCATTGTCTCATTTTTGTCATCGAAAAAAGGTTGTTGATGAAAAGTATTTATCATAGTTTTCGACAACGAAATTAACACTGTTTGGGCAAGCAGAAATTTTGACCTGCTGTTTGGTGGTGGAGTTTAAGAAAGCGAGGGATTACTGAAGTCATTACAACTCATTCAAATTGCATAGCAATCCATCCAATGGAGGCTGAGATACAGTATTTCACTCTGGACTAAAATACTGGACAAAACCAAAATGGCCGTCCCTGGAGCTCTGCTGCGCAAAACTAAAAGCGTAAACAGAGCTGATGATCTGTAAATATCTTTGTAGACATATACTCCAGTCTGATATTCAGACTCGGGAGAGAAACCAGCAGTGACAGGAAATAAACCAGTGAAAAGAGTTCTTTCAATGTGGTTCACTAATCATTTGGCTCTCATGTTGGAACCGTGGAAAGTAGGGCAATACTGTTCAATGCATCTTCATAAACACACACACACACACTTACTGAGACTCTGCGTTGTTGCATAACCTGGAGTATTACATCACATTTGCAAGTAGCTTTGTCATTGTATCTGTGTGTGTGTGTGTGTGTGTGTGCATGTGTGTGTCATTGTGTCCCTGGAGCAATAGTTTGTTTGGTTTGGCATCATTAACTGGCTCAGATGAAGCTCACAGACTCCAGTCGTGTTTCACAACAACAACAGACTGCCGACTTAGCTTCAGGTGGTTGTTGGTTTAAATCCTAATACCTATTACTGTGTCTGTGCCCTTGAACGAGGCAATAACTCATGCAGCCGCTGTGGTGAAGCCATTCACTCGGTGGAACCTGTGCAGTGCACACAGCAAAAGTGAAAATCAGGATTAAAAAGATTAAGAACGTTTCAGAGCAAGTCACAGATATTAATGTGATAACTTATTCAGTGTGATTATAGCCTCTTTGTTTGTGTGTGTGTGCGTGTGTGTGTGTGTGTGTGTGTAGGATGCTGCAGAGGAGTACTGTTCCCTGATCTGTCAGATGTTCCAGATCATTTACGGCCATCAGACCATCGAGTGTGTCGACAGAGCCGGATTTCACCACTCCATGCCGGACCGCTTCTGGCTACAGAGGAGTGAGTGTGACACATTTTCTGTTTGTCAAAAGTAGAAGTGATGGGACTTTTAAAGGAGCTCCTGTTTTTTTATTTTCATGAACTATACATGTAATTTAAATTTGATAAATCCAGAGAAAGTCTTTAGGCCTGTTTCCACCGCAGGAACTTCGGGGTAATTTTACGGGGCCGGGGCCGTTGGTGCTTGTCTCCACCGCAGGAACCACCCCCGAAGGACAGAGTTCCAGAACTTTTACAGGGGCTAAACAAGTCCCTGCCTCGGAGTAGGTACTCAGAACTGCCCCGATATACTCCTGGCTGGGGCTTGGGGATTACTTGGTGCTGATTGGATATACTCAAGGAGGGATGTGACGTCAACAGAAAGCAACAAAATAGCCGGCATTTTTAAAACTCAGCAGACGAGGGTTAGCTCGTTCATATAGCTTCCGTCGCCATGTAAAAAAACTCACTAAATGGTCCGTGAAAAACATATTTTTTCCAGCGGATATCTTAGTTACAACATGATTGAGCTAACAAAGCAGTTTTGTGTTGCTATGTGTGGTATTTATTCAGTTTTGGGAAATCACAATGTCTAGAAAGCATCAGCTGACAGGGACAGCTAACAGCAGCATCTGTTAAAAGCCTCCCGTTGTCGGATACGACATGAAACTACTCCAGTTAGCTCAATCATTTTGTAACTAAGACATCCTCTGGCAAAAATATTTTTTTCACGGGCCATTTAGTGAGTTGTTACAGACACCGCTATCGGCTAACAGCTAACAACGTCCCTACGTCGCCCCGGTCAAAATGGTTGCGCAACAATTACGTCACATCCAGAGCCCGTAACTTTACAGGAACCTTCCTCGTACTCCTCTCTCTCAGTGGAGACACGGCGGTTGCCCCCCAAATAGTACCAGGAACTTCTTCAGTGGAAACGTGCCTTTTGCTAGATATTGTGTTATTTTTTTGTTTTTTTGTTTTTCAGATAATAGTGATGAAACTTTTTAAGGTTGTGTTAAGTTCCAGTTGCTTTGGTCCCGTGAGCTTAGAGGTCCAGTGTTTAAAATTTAGGGGGATTTCGTGGCACCTAACAGTGAGGACTGCAGATTGCAACCAGCTGGAACTTCTACCAGTTAGAATTTCTTCAGTGTTCAGGAGGTTTTTATCGGTAATAACACTGAATAAAGCAGTTTCACATTATAAATTACTGTTTCTTCTGCACTGTATGGCACGTCGCAGAGAGGCCACTATCCCACACATACTAACATGTGCTCACTTTATTTCTGATCCAGATGTTAAGGAGGTTTTAACCATGTGTCGAATTATCCGCAGAGGTCCCCTCCTCTTTGAAACAAATGGACGCAGTGTTTTAAACCAGTTAAAAAACTGAATGAAGCGGTTTCATGTTACAATCATCATTGTTTCCCCAAAGTAGTTTGGCATGTCAGGGAAAGGCTGCTAGCCCAGCACCTGCTATTTTGTGCTCACCTTTTTCCTCTGACAATTCAACATCAAGACATTCAAGAAGGTTTTACAATGAACTGAAATGTTCACTGAGTCTCTTCCTCTCCATAACAAATGAACGTGGCGATTAACCCTTTGAAACCTGTGCAAACTGGCTTGATTTCTTTTGAAACATGGGAAGAAGGCAATGGGCAATGAAAGAAGAAATGACCTGAAAAAAAAATGTAAGAAATTTGTAAAACAAAAAAAAAAAAGAAGGAAAGAAAGAAAGAAAGAAAGGAAAAATCAAACAAACAAGGAAAAACAACCTGGATTATAATACAATTTTTCTTTTTTTTTCTTTTTTAGCAGTTTGTGGAACATTTCTTACCATGTTGCTCAATATCTTTTTTTCCCAATTAAAACAAATAAAAAACAAATTGCAGCAATTTTCTCAGGGTTCAAAGGTTTAAATACTTGTGAAAGGCATGTGAAAGCAGCGTAAAAAAATGCGATGTCACTCCAGGTTTCAAACTGTTAAAAACTGCGAACTATGCAAATGCAAATGACTCCACCTAGACCCAGTGTTTGGTTTGTCCAATCTGGGCTACTGTAGAAACATGGTGGTACAACGTAGCAATCTGCTCCCTATGTAGATATAAACAGCTCAATCTAAGACAACAAAAACACAGTAATTTTTATTTTCAGATTATATATTTACATTATATAGATGTATCAGCGGTTTGGTCCGTTGTGGTGAAGAGGGAGCTGAACCGGGAGGCGAAGCTTTCGATTTATTGGTCCATCTACGTCCCAACCCTCATCTATGGTCATGAGCTCTGGGTAGTGTCCGAAAGAATGAGGTCGCAGTTACGAGCAACCGAAATGAGTTTCCTCCGTGAGGTGTCTGGGCTCAGCCTTAGAGATAGGGTGAGGAGCTCGGACATCCTGATGGAGCTCGGAGTAGAGCTGCTGCTCCTTCGCATCAAAAGGGGTCAGTTGAGGTGGTTCATCTGATCAGGATCCTCCTGGGTGTCTCCTGTTAGAGGTGTTCTGGGCACGTCCCACTGGTAGGAGGCCCCGGGGCAGACCCAGAACACACTGGAGGGATTACATATCTCATCTGGCCTGGGAACATCTCAGGGTCCCCCAGGAGGAGCTGGGAAGCGTTGCTGGGGAGAAGGACGTCTAGGGTGCTTTGCTCGGCCTGCTGCCCCCATGACCTGGCCCCGGATGAGCGGATGAAAATGGATGGATGGATATTATATTCCATTTCTGACAATATATTCCACTGAATTTAACACACTGGACGGTTAAAGATTTTGATGTCTGTTGAGTGTAACACATACTGGCAGCATGGGATACACATCAAAACACCCACACTTATTTTTGATTATTATCCTGAGTTTCCAGCGTTGATGCTGTCAGTGTTCCAGTTTATAAAGTTTATATTGTTAGCTCCACTGGTAGAAAGAAAAGCTACAGTAACTCATCAGTATGTTGTTTGCGTTAAGTTTTAATGAACACTGCAGCCTCTCCTTTATTAGACTTACCTGTGGGTGTCATACTTCATGATCTTAGAGGGCGTAAATAACATGCACTTAACGCTCTCTGTCTGTCTCTGTCTGTCTCTGTGCAGGTGACAGCTGTCTGACTGACATGTCCTACAGTTATGATCCAGAGTTCAGCTGCTGCAGCTCATAGTGAGTAACACTCCACGCTGACTGAAGCTGCAACACTCAACGTCTCCAGATAAATACAGTTTGTTATCAGTTCACAGAATGTCCCAGATATTTGGACACAGACGGTCTGAAGAGACAGCCTTGAAAACTTTTACTACAAATAATCTCATTAGCAGCTGCTCTAGTTGTGAGTTTGGTGGTGATGTCCAAACTCAGAATGCATCTTAAGTAAAGCACAGGGACGCGTTTGCAGTTAATTATATTGTGAATGTTGGAAGAATGGATGTGAAACTCCACAGTAAAGCCCAGAGGACTGTTTGATTACTGTGTGATTGACTGTTTAGAGACAAAAGCTAAATATGGAGGAGAGATCAATAGTTGCTTTCATTAATAACATTTTTTAGGCTATTGTAGCTGCCACAATAAATGACACATAATTGAGTGACTGACATTTGATCAATATCTGCCCATTAGTCTGTCAGGTGTCAGGTGATATCCTGTCCATGATGTGATTCTCTCTGTCTCTCAGCGATGGTTCCCAGGATGCCTTTGAGCTCTACTACAGCGAGACGTACAGTGAGAGCTCGTCTCTCTCGCTGCAGGACTCCCATCGCAGTCTCACTTCAGTCAGCGACGGAGGAGACAGTAACCCTGCCCTGCTGTTGATGCAGGAATACATGATCACTGTGAGTGTGTGTGAGTGTGTGTGTGTGTGTGTGTGTGCAGCTTCAGAGACCAGTGTTTCCATCATCACCCAGAACAAAAGAAACACATTTTGTATTGTGATGGTTGAATATAGTGGCATGCTGATCAGCATTCTGCCAAATCACAACTAATAAACGTAAAAATTTTACAAATTTTGAATGCAAGGGGTTAAAATACTGTGTGTGGTGCATATTTAAGACTTTCAATATCCAACAGTTAAACACTGAAAAAAGGACTTCCTGTTTTTATAATTTCCATCAGACTCAGTGAGATTCCTTTATTTATTAATTTATACATTAAGTGCAGTACAGAGGGTTGAGAAATGAAACAAAAAAGCAAGCAAAACTTTATTTATACAGCACATTTTATTCCAGTTTGTGCACAAGCACAAAATGCGATGTAGAAGTTGCAAGCATGAAGCAAAGCCAGCAACTGAACATAATAGTGAATCAAATCCATTAAAACTAGGAATAAAACCTCACAAAATAATATTAAAATTAAAAAACCTCGTGAATAATATTTTTCATAACATGAAGAATAAACCAATAAAATATAAAAAAGACATGTGACTCAGAATTGATTTTAGAAATGATTAAAATTTAAAAAAAAACTAAAAGGAGACCATTAAAAAATGTATTTATATAGCACATCTAAAAATAACCACAGTTGACCAAAGTGCTGTACAAAATAAAAGAATGACACATAAATATATAGCAATATAAAATGTACACAAATAAAAAACTGAATAAAACTGGTAAGAGCAATTACAAACATAATAATACTAGTCCATACCCATTGGTAGCTTTGTCACCTTCTACCTATGCCAGTCCTCAATGCCTATGTGCAGTTTCACATAGATCGACCACGTCAGTGAGTAGAAAAACGTGGGACAGACAGAATGACTGACTGACAGAATGACACACTGACAGTTACCGTGATTATGTACAGCATACCATACCATGACTTAGTCATACCAAACATTAGAAACAACACCAACATTGGTCCACAGGGGGAGCCACAGCGATCGGTCGCATTTTAGCCATTTTGAAGCATTTTTCTGTTGTTATAGCGCCACCCAGTTGCCAATTAGAGTTAAACTTCTCCAGTCACCTTGAGGCGTCCTGTTCTACATATCTACCAAGTTTAGTAAAAATCCATATGGCGGTTAGGCCTAGATAAGAAATGAGCTCTCTAGCGCCCCCATTTTGTTTGATGGGGTCAATAATGGAGGGGTCCCCTCAGATTATGTGTGGTCATATGCCTACAAAGTTGCGTGGTGATGGGTGAAACCCTTGAGATGTTATACACCTTTATGTGATGAGCCACGCCCTCCGCAATATTCATTGCCTTATAGAAGCTCAGTTTTAATAAGTTTTCCAACTTTTGCCAAGAGGGAACTTTAGATATTGGTCCCTAGATTATGTTCACCCAGTTTCATGCAGATCGCTCAAACTTCCTAGGAAGAGATCCATTTGAAGTGTTTTTCAAAAAATTCAAAATGGCGGAAAATCTATATAAGTGGAAGTTATGGGTTCTTGAGGCAAATGTGTTCCTCATGAGGAGAGGCATCTCTGTGCATGTCTCTACGACATACGGGGCATGAGATATGCCCATTCAAAGTTTGCAATTTCAATCGGTTGCTATAGCGCCCCCCTTTGGCCAATTGATGTAATATTGCTTCATTGGCATCCTCCCATGACCCTCTACCACTGTGCCAAATTTCACATGGATTGACCAAGTCAGTGAGGAGAAAAACGTGGAACAGACACACACACAGAGTTTTCATCATTACACAGTAAGATACTAAAATATTAAAATCACTACAGACAATCGAAGGCCATTGAAAACATGTATGTTTTAAGATTTGTCTTAAAAGTGTCATTGGATAGATAAAAAAAAAAAGATAAAGGAAAAAGGATAATACATATGAATTAAAATAAATAAAAGAACTACAAACAGTATAAAATAAGATGAAATAATAAATAAATCAATAAACCAGTTAAAGTAAAAGCACACCTGGGTTAAAACCAATAAAAGAAATAAAATAAAATAAAATAGAATTAGATAAAGTAAAGTAAGATAAAAATAAAATTAGATTAAATTTTGTTTTATTTCATTTAATTTCAATTCATTTTATTTTATTTAATTTTATTTTATTTTATTTCATGGTCAAACCAGACTACTGGAATGACTAAAAAGGAATGTTTTCAACTTAACTTAAAAAGATGATACTGTTGGAGCACTCCTAATGTCATCAGGTCACATGTTCCAGTGGCTCGAAGGGTAAAAGCAAAAGGCACTTTCACCTGTATTCATAGAGACCTGGGGAATAACCAGACCAGATAAATTCTCACACTGCTGTTGCAGTAGCCAACAACTTAACTCCAGGTCACCAACAGCAAACATCGTCCCTGTCGCACTTTATGAAGAGTTATTAACGAGGGTAAAAGGGTTTAGAAGGCAGGAACAATTAGTTAGTGACATTTTGTTGACAAATGGAGAATTATATATTTCATGCTAATCTGAGTCTCTCATGTGTGTGTGTGTGTGTGTCTTTGTGTGTGTGTAGCTGCGTAACAAGCTGAGTCCGGTGGAGTTGCAGCACTTTGCGGTGTTGCTGAGAGAATACAGGCTGGGATCAAACATCGACCACTTCTGCTCTGAGCTGCTGCAACTGTACGGAGACAACCGCAAGTTCCTGCTAATGGGTGAGACACAGAGAGACAGACACACACACACACACACACACACACACACACTCAGGGCTCATTACCTGACTGAAACTCTGCGGCAAACCACAGCCTACTATTTACACTGTTATTGTGGTAGCAGATGAGAGGAGAGAGACTGAGTGTGTGTGTGTGTGAGCTGTACACTGTATATTGACGTGTGTAGAGAGGAGTTTACTGTATGTGTGAATGTCTTTAATATGTGTGTGTGTTTACCGCAACAAATTCAGCGCTGACCCACTTCCACTGAGGAAACCGCAACTTCCTGTTGGTGAGTGAGATGGAGGCAGAGAGAGGATGATGTGTGGTGTTTTTCTCCACACGGCCTGTTAATGCTCAGTGTGTAGAGGTAGCAGAAGCACACACACTCAATTTTAACCCCCAGTATATGCACAGGTTCCCCCCCTTGTCTTCCCTTATGTTATATTGAAATAGTGGTTATAGTAAATCACCTTTAAAAGGCGTTACAGTTAGTTAAAGCTCCTTTTTTCTAAGCGGCCGTGCGTTCGATTTCAAACCATGGTTCATTGCTGCATGTCATTCCTCCTCTCTCTCTTCTCCTTTCATGCTATATATCTGTCCCGTCAAATAAAGACATATGGTGCCAAAAATACACTGAACAAAAATATAAACGCAACACTTTTGTTTTTGCTCCCATTTTTCATAAGCTGAACTCAAAGATCTAAAATATTTTCTATACACACAAAAGACCATTTCTCACAAATACTGTTCACAAATCTGTCTAAATCTGTGTTAGTGAGCACTTCTCCTTTGAGATGCTGATTAGACAGCATGATTATTGCACAGGTGTGCCTTAGGCTGGCCACAATAAAAGGCCACTCTGAAATGTGCAGTTTTGCTTTACTGGGGGGGGCAGAAAACCAGTCAGTATCTGGTGTGACCACCATTTGCCTCACGCAGTGCAACACATCTCCTTCTCATAGAGTTGATCAGGTTGTTGATTGTGTCCTGTGGAATGTTGGTCCACTCCTCTTCAATGGCTGTGCAAAGTTGCTGGATATTGGCAGGAACTGGAACACACTGTCGTATACGCCGATCCAGAGCATCCGAAACATGCTCAATGGGTGACATGTCTGGTGAGTATGCTGGCCATGCAAGAACTGGGATGTTTTCAGCTTCCAGGAATTGTGTACAGATCCTTGCAACATGGGGCTGTGCATTATCATGCTGCAACATGAGGTGATGGTCGTGGATGAATGGCACAACAATGGGCCTCAGGATCTCGTCACAGTATCTCTGTGCATTCAAAATGCCATCAATAAAATGCACCTGTGTTCGTTGTCCATAATATATGCCTGCCCATACCATAACCCCACCGCCATCATGGGCCACTCGACCCATGCTGACATCAGCAAACCGCTCACCCACACGACGCCACACAATGCTCTCTTCCATCTGCCCTGAACAGTGAAAACCAGGATTCATCCGTGAAGAGAACACCTCTCCAACGTGCCAGACGCCATCGAATGTGAGCATTTGCCCACTCAAGTCGGTTATGACGATGAACTACAGTCAGGTCGAGACCCCGATGAGGACGACGAGCATGCAGATGATCTTCCCTGAGACGGTTTCTGACAGTTTGTGCAGAAATTCTTTGGTTATGCAAACCGATTGTTGCAGCAGCTGTCCGGGTGGCTGGTCTCAGACGATCTTGGAAGTGAACATGCTGGATGTGGACGTCCTGGTCTGGTGTGGTTACACGTGGTCTGCAGTTGTGAGGCCGGTTGGATGTACTGCCAAACTGTCTGAAACGCCTTTGGAGACGGATTATGGTAGAGAAATGAACATTCAATTCACAGGCAACAGCTCTGGTGGACATTCCTGCAGTCAGCATGCCAATTGCACGCTCCCTCAAAACTTGCTACATCTGTGGCATTGTGCTGTGTGATAAAACTGAACATTTTAGAGTGGCCTTTTATTGTGGCCAGCCTAAGGCACACCTGTGCAATAATCATGCTGTCTAATCAGCATCTTGATATGCCACACCTGTGAGGTGGTATGGATTATCTCGGCAAAGGAGAAGTGCTCACTAACACAGATTTAGACAGATTTGTGAACAGTATTTGTGAGAAATGGTCTTTTGTGTGTATAGAAAATGTTTTAGATCTTTGAGTTCAGCTCATGAAAAATGGGAGCAAAAACAAAAGTGTTAAGTTTATACTTTTGTTCAGTGTATGTTTAAAAGAAATACAGTTTTCAGTCATTAGGTTTGTCTGAACACCTCTTTGGATTTCTGTATCACAGTTGGGAGAGAGTTGCTGCCTCAAGCGAGACAGTTCAAGTATCTCAGGGTCTTGTTCACTAGTGAGATGGATCAGCAATTTAGTATGGCCTCTGCAGTGATTCGGGCGCTGTGCCTGACCATCATGGTAAAGACGGAACTGAGCCAGAAGCCGAAGCTTTTGATTTACTGGTCCATCTACGTCCCAACCCTCACCTATGGTCATGAGCTCTGGGTAGTGACTGAATTAAGGAGATCGTGGATACAAGCAGCCAAAATGAGTTTCCTCTGTGGGGTGTGTGGGCTCAGCCTTAGAGATAGGGTGAGGAGCTCAGACATCAAGAGGGAGCTCGGAGTAGAGCTGCTGCTCCTTCACGTCGAAAGGGGTCAGTTGAGGTAGTTCAGGCATCTGATCAGGATCCTCCTGGGTGCCTCCTGCTATGGCCGGTATACCCAGACGAAAGATGGCCATTGTGGGAGAAACTTGGCGATATCTTTGGTCGTGGCTCTAAAACGGTGATCTTATGTCACACTGTGAGACAGGTTCAAGGACGGCCATTGTCAACGTCTTGCGACCAAATATAACCTGAGATAAATTTCTGGCAGTGTCAGAAAATTAGGATGACTATCTCACAGTGTGACAGCTGCTACGACCTACATCTATTAATCAACCAATAGCAATGACACAATGGTCACTGCAACACCGGCACTAAACCCAAACAAATGATCGCTTGCCATGGAGGTAAAACAAACAAAAAGAGGTCTGTGGAGCTCCCAGAAAGAGGATAGTTTAGTGGAGCTGTGGCAGCAGAAGCCTTGTTAATTTGATGTTTCCTCCAGCTGCTATCATGACCGCAAGAAAAAAGACGCTGCATGGAAGGAAATTGCGGAGGAACTGCAACTTCCAGATGAGCAAGCTACCCATGGTGGTGCAGATGGATGACGTACGCTGATGCAGTGCACACTGATGACGTTGCATATTGACGTACGTCGTAACCTGGGATTCAGTAGTAAACGGCCATCGTACAATCTGCACACATCGAACTTGACGTCATACCAAAATTTATTAGATCCATGTCTCACAGTGTGTCATGCAATGGTCTTAAAAGATTGCTAAAATCGCAGTGTATAGAGGGCACTAGAGGTGTTCCAGGCACGTCCCGCTGGCAGGAGGCCCCGGGGCAGACCTAGAACATGCTGGAGGGATTACATATCTCATCTGCAGTGTTGGGCTCCTTGGTCTAAAAATGCAATACATTCCTCATTGCTTGTTTCCCTTTTCAAAACAAACAATAGAACTTTATTCATTACTCCCTGCCAACAGTAATTCATTACACTACTTGTTATATTACTCTTCCGTTACACCCCAAACTAGCTTGCAGCTTTGTGGCGTGGCGCGATGATTACGAAAGTAACATTGTAATGCATCAGCATGTAACCACATCCACACTGTCTACTACAACAAAAAATAGAGATGCTCGAATTACATCACACACAGGTAGCGTGACTTAATTCTACCACTATATCTTTACGTAGCAAATAGTTTTTTGTTGCTGGTGCTGCTGCTCTGAATGTCGTATGGTTAAATTCTCTGCCACAGTCCTTCAAGTCCCTCCCACAATGCATTGCATACACATCAATTCATTAAACTGATGGGGGTCATGTAATTAATGTAGGTAGCCACAAGCAACACTGCTGAGTCCTTCGAGGGCGTGTCTCAAGCCTGTTGTATGCGGGACGTTCCAGACGTAAAAAGCAGAATAGGCTACAAGTATTCCCAGTTTGTGCCTCACACAATTAATACTTTTTTAACAAATACACAAGTACAAAAGTACTGTGAGAATATTAACTTACTAGAAGGGCACAATGATCCGTCAAATGACCCTGATATTGTCATATTTTTTACATCAGACTCCTGCAAACTGAACCAATTTGTAGTTCAAGAAAAATTATCTAACATTATTAGTAATCCTGTAATGATTTGACCTCCCATCCTTCATTTTATATTGTTACCCTTTTTTATTTTCTCGTAGTGATAAAGAAGGAACAACCCAAACAAAGGTTATTCTAACCCTCACAGATACCTGACTGCTTCTCTTTGTTTCCCAGGCATGCGTCCATTCATCCCAGACAAGGACGTCGGGGTGTTTGAGAGTTTCCTGGAGAGCATCGGGATCCGGGAGGGTGGGATTTTAACTGACAGCTTCGGACGCATCAAACGCAGCATGAGCAACACGTCAGCGACGGCCATGAGAGGGTACGTAGGTCAGGAGGTGCAGGTTGTGATTTGTGAAACTCAGTTATGACTCTCTCTGTGAGGGTGTTTCTAGATACCACACACTGCTGTCTCCTCTTCTGTCATGTCTCATTAATATGGTGCATTTAGTTGATCTTAATAAAACTAAAGAGCACCAACCTGTGGTCCGAAGACATCATACAGCAGAAAACATTCTGCTGCTGCAATTAGGAAACAAGACACGTGCCTAATTTTGATTCAGAAAGTTAAAATCGACACTAAAAAGTACAAAACAAAACAGTTGATTAAACCATAGTAATAATTTTAGTATTTATTGTCTTTGACTGTCAGCGTGCAGTTTTTCAGTAACTCACATTCAATATTAATATGTTTACCACTGGTGTTAATGTTGCTGTGTTCTCCCAGTGTCGTCTTCTGTCCATAAACCATTTTAAATATCCTATAAAAACATTTTACTCTCTTAAAAGTTTAATAAGAAACCCTATAAGAGATGATGGCTCTATTTTTGTGATATTATTGTTTTTGTTTAAAAGTTTTTGGGAGTTCAGGGTAACTTCAAGTCATAGTTTCTCTTTCCATGATGCAGAACTGGTCCAGGTTGAGTCCAAATGATCTTCTTCTAGTACACTAGAAATTAGGTAACATTATGATGTGTTTTTTGTGTGTGTGTTTCCCAGCAGGTATGACAACAGCTCTCTGGCGTCAGGATCTCAGGAGTTCAACCGACGCATCACTGACATCACCCACGACATCCAGGCGCTCGGCTTCCAGGACACACACGGAGACATTGAGGAGGAAGACTACTACCTCTGATGAAGAGGTGAAGGGAAACAGTGAGAGTCTGAGTTTTCTCCAATACCAGACAAATAAACTGAAAATATACAATAAACTGTCTGACAGAGGAATCATTCGTAAAGTTGCTGTTTTAAAATGCATTTCCTGCTCGATGCACAGAACAGCAGATAAAACCAGCAAGTGAGTTGAATAAAATAATAGTACGAAAGTTGTTGTATAGAAACCAGAGCTGTCTTAATTCAGTTCAACTCATACTGTTTATTTTTCAGTGTATCATACAGTTAATGCACAGTGAGATTATGATCTATGATCATGATTTTTTACCTGTGGTTATTATTTAATACAGAAATCTATTAAATCTTATTCTGATCATCTCATTCCACCTAAAACCATACATTTGCAGAAGGGGCAGTATGGTTTCGTCTTCATGATCCAAAGGTCATGATTAGAGTTTATAAGTCAACTTGTGTCAGTCAAAGTGATCACAAGAGGAGGAAGTGGGTAAAATCTCTTATATATTCCAGTGGATTTTTGGCTGAAAGGTGGGTATATTGTAAACAGCCAGAAAAAGAAGTGTGTATACCCTGTGTATACCCTCCACTACATCGCTGAGTTTATTCATCATCCATGCCAAGTCTCAGCTGAGTCGAGCAACCAGAAGCAGCCTGACTTATCTTATCAAGCGTGCTGAGTTTGGGCCAGTGCTGGGCCAGGTCATTTTTGACAGTGGCCCAGTGATGGCGATATTAGCAGCTGAAATCAGGCCGGTTTATTTGGCTTAATTCTGGGGTGTCATTGGTTCTGAGCCAAGTCTGTTGTGGCAGTTCAACTTAGGACCCAAAGTGCAAACACAACCAGGAAACAGGGAATGGTTGAAGGCAGTTTATTGTAGTTTGCAGAAGTGGAGCTGAAGGCTTGAATGAAATGATGGCTGAGGTGGACAGGGAATGGCGAAGCAAAGCAGACACAGTCCAAATCCAGAGGCAGAAGACAAGACCGAGGCTGGACATGGCGGGTTATGGTTGAGGCTGGCATGGTGAACCTGAGACACAGAACAGAGTGTGACTTGATGTCCCAAACGTACAAAAAGACCAGTGTCCAAAAAAAAACTAGCAGTTGGCCTAGATGTCTGTACCGCAGAGGAGACTGAACTATCTGGCTGAGTCTGGATGTCTGAGCTGAGGTTTTATTCTGCAGTGGCTGTATTGTAGAAGTGGTTCAGGTGTGCTCAGGAGGAATGGCAGGGAACCAGAAGGCCACGCCCAGCAAACACACAAAGACAAACTGAAAACAAACATGAGAAACTAGGGAGGGGAAACAGGAAACACAAAGGAGTGGCGAAGCTGAAATCCTGACAGAGTCAGCAACTTATTCTCAGCATGCCAAGTTTGGGCCAATGCATACCCAGGTCATTTTGGCTACCAGGGATCATTAAAGGGGTTTTGAATCCATCTGCGTCCATGCCACTAATATTGCATTAAAGTGAGGCCTCGAAATACTTTAAAAAGCTGCAATAGAGTATGATGGTGTTTTCTGTAGAGGTTGTAGTACCTTACAGTGGCCACATGGAGGCAACTGTGGATAAAAGAGCAGATTTCCATCCCTGCTTCTGAGCTACAGGCTGCTTTATGAGGCAGAATGTAAAGTTTTAATGACTGTGTTTTAGAAAAAGCTTATTAACTGGAACCACATCTACAGAAGTTTCACATTTTAATATGACGGTAATGATGAGAACCATATATAGGAAATCTAAAATCTCTGTTCTGTGCCTGTCCCCCTTTCTATCTCTGTCCCAACGCTGCATTGACCCGTTATCCTGGCGGCAGCATCATGACCTTCCCATGGTGCACTGCTTCTCTGTGCCCCCTGGTCCTCTCCTCTGCCAGCCTCACTGAACATCAGAGAGGGAGCCAGTACACCCATGGGCTTCACCCGAGTCATGCTAGTCTCCTCACTCTCATTATGTAATAAGCTAACGTAGTGTGCATTTGTTTTTTTCGATTAATTTATCATGAGCAGAGTAAGTTTAGTTAAAAGCAGCAGTGATGCACATTACTGTAAGTGTACCAGAGGTTTTCCAAAAGGCTGGTTTTAAATTCATCACCTGGATAGGCACTGGCACTGCAGAGTGGATAAAAACTCAGTTGTTTAAATAGGACATGTGCATGCAGAGTACTGGGTGAGAGTGACATCCCATACACTCAAAATACTCGATATGTTTAGACAAAGCTCTGCCGTGCTTCATGACCCTGAAAAATAATGAAAATCTTTCTTATCTGTCAGGGGGAGGCCACCATGTTTGGGTTTATTGCAGGCAAACAGCAATACTGAAGCTACTTCTTACTGCCTCTAAAGGTCAGAGATCGTGACTCCAGTTCATATCAGTCAAAACGAAACCAGGAAATGCGATGAGATAACGTTCGGTTCTCTTATCACAACAGAAGATAAATTTTAAGGTCATTTTGTGTGTGTGTGTGTGTGTGTGTGTGTGTGTGTGTGTGTGTGTCAGGGGGAGCAGACACATTGTATAAACTCTATCCTCATCATCGGATTATAGCTCTGTAACCTCTGCAGTCATCCATGTGGCGGCATTTATCATCATCCCACTCACACACACACACACACACACACACACATAATCCCCTCCACCTTGCATCATCATGGATACACCGTTCGCCATCAGCCCTGGGTCGGGTATTATTTTTCTGTTTCCAGCTACAGTGGAACAGACTCCATCAAACCCATAAATATTTCTCATGGTTTGTTTGTGCAGTACTTGTGATAGTGATGAATATTATTTAATCTATGTTTTTTTAATCTTTTTTTAAAGCAATATTTATTTCGAAACCTAATTTTGCTCATAATTCTTAGCTTTTGAAATTGTTTTATTTAATATTTTTGCTTTATTTCGGCAGAACTACAATGTATTGTTGTAAAAAATGTATTTTACTTTAAAAGCTTCATATTTAGAACATTTTAGATAGATAGATAGATAGATAGATAGATAGATAGATACTCCACACATCCAAAAAGCATGTATCACACTTTATGATAAAACATGACATCATGCAAATAAAAAATTGAATCTCCTTTGAGATCCAGCTGATTTAAATGATGTCACTTTTGGATTTCCATTCTGCTGTTGTTCCAGCTGGAAGGTTCAGTGTTGGTTCACTGGTTGCTCTGCAGATGTAGGGGATCAGGGGGTGAGTGTACGATAACAAACTCCCAGCCTGCAGGGATTACAGTGTGGTGTGTCCACTGGGTTATATTTAGCAGGCTAACAGTCATACTACGCAGTGTGGCCCGCCTGCTGAGCTGGCCAGGTGCCATTCAGCCCAGTGTTGGTGTCATTGCAGGGATCAGTGCAGAGAAAATCCACTGAGGTTTCATAACAAAGTGCCAACAGCCAATCAAAGCTGCTGTCAGGTAGAGCTGCGCTGACAGCTCAGTTAATGCCTTAGCAGCCCTGATACTGCAGGTATGTACGGAGGAGTTACACGGACGCAGCAGAAAAATATGACAGAAAATAATAACAATATTTTATTAATAGGAGTTATTTTTAATGTATTTCATTGTTTATTCAACAGGAAGAAACACAATACATTCATTCCACCAGATACTGATAAAAGCTCTTTCTTTTAATCAGCTGTCCGGTCGGCCAGTTAAAAAAACAATTAGACAATAATAAAAGAAGAGAGAACATGCAAACTCTGCACAGAAGGTAGAGTAACTAATATTGTTGTAATGGCACAAAAATGAAAATCTAGCAAAGGGGCTTTCTGCCCCACTACTGGGGCCAGATGCCCCCTGCTCGGGGTAAGAAGCCCCTGAGTGCAACACGAAATATTAAAGTAAATGAAACAAACTAAAATCTCAATCCTGACCCGTTAATGGATCATGAGAAGCCTTGTAGCCTTTCATTCAGGCTATTTCAGGATGTCTTCCTCCAGCAAGCTTGTTGAAAATGTTGGCTAATTCTAATTAGCCAGCAATGCTAATGATTGCTAGTCAGCTAGCTCATATCGCAAGCAAGCTGTTGCACCTTTAGTGCCTACTATACTAAGCTACTGTAACAGAGTTTGTTTTATATGTAATTCCACTTGCTATAATGCAGAGATGGGGGACTCGAGACATATGACCAGACTCGAGTCAGACTCGAGTCGCAAATATGATGACTTGAGACTTGCTTGACTAACGTTGTTAAAAGACTCGACTTGACTTTGACTTTGTATTCATGACGTGAGACTTGACTTTGACTTGAGACAGATGACTTGAAAGCACTTGGCTTTAATTCAATATTAAAGGCACACTAAGCACCGTTGGGCGTTCGCTAGCTGAACGAGCGATAGCTGCTAGTTACCCTGGATTTACACACCTGTTCAAGGGATAGTGCACCCAACATGAAAATTCAGCCATTATCTACTCACCCATATGCCTATGGAGGCTCAGGTGAAGTTTTAGAGTCCTCACATCACTTGCTGAGATCTTTTGGGAGAGGTGGTAGCAACACAACTCCACCTAATGGAGGCTGATGGCGCCCCAGATTCAAACGTCCAAAAACACATAATTGAAACCACAAAATATCTCCATACTGCTCGTCCGTAGTGATCCAAGTGTCCTGAAGCCTCAACGCTCTTGCGCAAGACTGTGAGACAAGGGCACTGCGTTCATGTGTGTGTGCTTGCTTTTGCTGGTCTTGCGCTGGCTAGTTGGTGCAGCCTGGACCCAAATGTTTTTGTTGTCATTTGCAGAGCCTGAGCTGCCTACAGAGACCGGACTTTTTCCACAGCATATTCAGAGGACATGTAGCTAGCGGATTGTGAGGAGATGTTTGCTGTATGTGACATATGACTTGACTTGTGACTTAGCTTGAACTGAGCAATGACTCTACTTGACTTATTTTTTTTTATTTATTTATTTATTTATTTATTATATATACTTTATTAATCCCTGAGGGGAAATTCAATTTTTTCACTCTGTTGTCAATTACACACAGGTCCAAACACACACATGCACAAACAGGACCTATACATGCACTAAGTGGAGAGATGTCAGAGTGGGGCTGCCCATGAAAGGCACTTATAGCAGGGACTTGACTTGCTTGATTCTCACCACAACTAACTTGAGACTTGCTTGAGACTTGAGACTTGCTTGTGACTTGCACATGTGTGACTTTCCCCCATGTCTGCTATAATGTGATAGTCATGCACTTTTGTAGTTATGTGGTTATACCTGGGTTGTTGGCTCAGAGGCGCCCTCTCTCAGAGGTGGTAGGTAAACGCCACTGCAGGCGTTAAAACATTGCCAATTCATTAGGGAGTGCCAGGGGGTGAGTTGTCGAGCACAGCACTGTGTACAAATATTGTGTATTAATGTGGGTTGCTGTACTTGTTAAGTGATAAAATGCCAAAATAATGGCATGATGCACTTTATGAAATAGCTAGATAGCCTCTGTGCTAAAATAACGTGCTGTTTTACAGCTGCCTGTAAAATGGTGGTGTAGAAAGGACAACAACCCTCCTCATTATTCTAAGGGTTGCAGTAACAGCGAGGCCTAGCTGAGTTCAGTGACACTACCACCAGATGTAGCCATGTACTATATAAAGGCACATATAACTTTACAAACTAGGAAATCAAAGTAAATAATATATTACAGGCAGGATGCCCCAAGGGGTTCTTCACACACTTTCTGAGGAGGCTTCCTGCCCCAAGGGTCTATCTTAACATTTTTTTCTTACTTCAAAGGAAAAATCTTTTTCCCCCAACCCTCCTGTCACCATATAGCCTATATCGCCACCATTTTCCAGTGACAAAAAATGAGATCAATTTACCCTAAAACAGTTCCAGTTAAATAAATCTTAAGAATGCAGCAGCTTAAATGAAATGTCACAATTCACTAGAGCATAGCAACCTATAGGCTCCATGTGTTGAGAGTAGATTAAGTGCTATATGGGTGGGAGAGGAATTAAGGACGGGGGGATTATCTTCTCCCATCTTCCCCTTATTTGTTAAGAATTTACTGCTACTGCTACGACACATGCTTTTTCTGAGAGCCCTCATATAGCACAGAAAATTAAACGGAGCATTTGCAGTGATAGTAAACAAATTCTCCCTTTTTAAATTGCTTTTTTATTGCTGTAAGAAGAAAATGATCACAAAATGGAAAAAGGTCAGGCCTAAATAATTTATTTTTACATGCACTGTGTCTTCATCTGGATTTGATTCACTGTTTAAAAAGATAATAAAACAAGTATCTGTGACAGTAAGCTGTGTGCCTGTACATTTTGTTACCGTGTGTTTACAGCGTGGCGGGAGAAACGCCCCTCCGGAGGCTCTGACTTCGTACGTCATTACGCAATCCGTCTGGGCCAATCAGAGCTGAGGAGGGCGTAAAGCCGCCTCGCGCCGGGTAAAAGGGATTTGACAGTTGCAGGTCTCGAGCTGATCCTCCAGTTGACTTCCTCAGTGGGACGGAGACCATGGCGGCGGCTGCTGCCTGCGGCCAGCACAGTGCTGCGATAACGGCCGCTGTTACCGGCAAAAAGACGCATAGTAACCGGGAACACACTCGGAGGAACCGGGAGAACTCTCGGCGGAGACAAGCCGCTCTTTTATTCCTTAGTAACATCTCCCTGGACGGACGGCCGGTCCAGAGTAATGCAGCCGAACATGTAGGAAGCCGCCACCATAAAGAGACCGACTTGGAGGGAGCCGACTCCGGCTCTGCGGCGGCGGTGGCGGCCGGGTTATGCCCGGAGCTGGGCAACAACAGCGGCTACGGGACATTCGCCGGTTTGGCAGCCAACGTTAATTCTTCCTCGGCACCAAGGACAGGACTCCTCAACATACCGCCTATCCTCGTCCTGCCGTCGGACACGGGCTTTGACGAAGTGGGGAGCGCGGAGGTGCTGCTGGAGTGCCGCAGAGGCTCGTTCCCTTCGCCGGGGAACAGTAACCTGCTCTCACCGTCCACGTCTAACGCCAGCCTGCTACCGTCGCCACTGGGACCGCGGAAGTCCTCCACACTGCTGTCGGTTCAGAGCTGTAACTCCGTGTCCTCAGAGCCGCGACAAAGGTGAGACACACGGCTTTGTTATTGTCCTGTTAGCGGGTGAGTGTCAGCCTGTGGCACGGTTGGATTTGCTGGTAATCACCCTGAAACTGTTCGCTTTAATGCTTCAGTGTTACCTGGAAGTTTGAGGGAGGAGGCTGATGTTGATGAACTTGACCATAGGTTGACTGTGGCTGGGCTGCAGATCCAGTTTAACTTTGATTCAGAGTATTCACACGCTTATTCTCACGCTGAGAGATGGTTTGGCACTGGATTTGAAGATCTGTAAATAATTGCTTCCCGTTAGTCTTTGTGATGTGGCTCCAGTGAAATTAAGGATGACAATCATGTGGTTAAGTTAAGAGCATGTCACTGGTCATAATTCAACGTTTCTTTGTTACCTCCCTGCCTGGAGGTAAAACTGAACTCAGAACATTTACAGTAGACATGGAGTCTAAATGTGTACATGCATGTCTCACAGCCCACACACGCTCAGGTGAGGGCTCCTCAGGTCAAGATCATATGAATTAAATGACTAATCCCATCTGATTTTTGGAGGTGGTAGTGTGGATTATCAAAAGCTCAGGACTCATGTCAGCCTTTGTTGTTGCCTTGTGCTAATTTCCCCTAATTATGTCCTCAAAATTAGAGAGTAACTGTTAAACCACTGAAACCTGCATGCTTAAAGAGAAAACTGTGTCCATGGCTTTGAGTGCAGAAAACTAGAAACACTGAGTGCTTGGTCAGATTCTTTTGGTCTTGTTTAGTTATTCTGATCTGATGTTTTCTCATTAATAAATTAAATTTTTTGTTAGTAGTAGTATTTAGATAAAACGAAGTCCACCCACCAATTATCATCCTTTTTTTTTAAATCAGGCTAATCTTTAATGTCAGAAAGAAAGGCAGTTATGTCTGACCATCTGTCTAAAACCTAAAGATAAAAAGTGTCAAGTCTTCACATTTGAGAAACTGGAGCTGGAGAATATTTGGTCCTGTTGCTTGTTCATTTAAAGGTCCAGTGTGTAGGATTTAGGGGCATCTAATGGCAGAAATTAAACATCATATAATAACTGTGTTTCATTAGTTTACAATCACATGAAAATAAGAATTGTGTTTTTGTTACCTTAGAGTGAGCCATGTACATCTACATAGAGAGCAGGTCCTCCTCTACAGAGTCCACCATGATGCACTGCCATGTTACAGTAGCCCAGAATGGACAAACGAAACACTGGCTCTTAATCGGGACATTCATGTTTTTGCTTCGGCCAGCGTACTGTAGTTCGCAGCCTCTCTGTGATAAACACATTGGAAAAACAGTTAGATACTCACTGCTAGATACCACTAAATTAGGGATGCACAATATTGAATCTTTTGCCATTGTCCGATATGCCGTTATGTAACAATTTATTTGACCCATAACCAACACCTGTATGGATGCGTCCACTTTTTCCCTGCCTAATTTTAGTGATCATCAAGTCTCTCCTGTAGTGGAATTAACATCATGTTATACATGCATACTTTTATTGTGACGGCTCACCAGCAGATGGAGACATGAAATACAATACTTTTTAGTGTATGTAGTATTTATTCATTTTGTAAAATAAGAAAAAGCATGTTGGCCGATTCTAATAGTTCATTTTAAACCCAATATTGGGCAATACCGATGACGTCTCGATATTATCGTGCAACCCTACTCTAAATCTCCCTAAATCTTACACCCTGCTTGCTTAATAATCATTTAAATCATCATAATGCAATAAATACAAATTCATTTGGGCATCTAGAGTAAATAGGATTGGTGTGATAATGTGGTTACGGTATTGAAAAGTATTGTTTTTGGTATCTGTACCAGAATTTCAGAAACAATTATGCATGCCACTGTTTTCTGCTTATTCTTACGTTGACTTTAATAATTGTGTTCCTCAAGAGCTCTAAACTAACAAGCATCTGTGAGTCGGTTTATCAAAATTTGGAGATTCTCCTCTAAGTTATGCTTATTCCAACTTTAATAGCATCTAAATGGCTTCAATATTCAGTAGAAAGGTGGACTGAGCAGTATCTGCAGTAGGGGTGTCAGTTTCAGTTAATTTTGCTTTCAATATCTCGACTAAGGATAGACCGATACATCGGAAAGTGCATTGAAAGTATGTGGTTAAGTTGAACAAAGCTGTTGAATCCTACTGTGTACAGTAGTTGTTGTTTTATTTATGCTTCAGCTTAAATATTTGTTTATTTTATAAAGACATTACTGGAAGATTTAAGAGCGCTGAACTCTTTTTTTTATTTGAATGTATAATAATAATAATAATAATATTCTACCTGTTCTACCTCAACTTTCCATCTTGTTTTAGTATTTTTTTTACTGTTCAATAAATGTTTCTTATTTTAAACTTGAGACCTGTAATATTTGTTATCATTGTGTCATTTTTTTTTTATGTAAATTGAGGGAGCAAAAGCAGTATCGGCCCCAAATATCGGCTCAAGAAAATCGGCAGTCCATAATCGGTCATCGGCTAAGGGTGATGGAAAAAAATCGGTATTGGCATCGGTCCTAAAAAATCCATATCGGTCTATCCCTAATCTCGACACTCGCCCATTAGCCAATAAAAAAAAAAATTACAAAATATCATAAAATAAAAAAGGCCTATCCATTTAGTGTGGCGCTCCGTTGACTCAGTGAGCTTCAGCGCCACATTTTAATGTACTATCTATATTTTGTTTTGTGATGTAAAAGTTTCACCTTTATTTTATTTTCTGTTGGCTTTGCTGACAGTCAGCCAGCTAACATGGGAAAACATAGTGCCCATGACCCACCCTCTGGTCTGGTTGGGTGGGAACTAGCTAGCTACACTGCTGCAGAACCATGGTGGCCACCATCTTGTCTGCCCCCAGGTAGCCCTGGTGAGTAAGCAGCTTCAATTTGAACAGTCAGATCCCTTTAGTATAATTAACTATGTTAGCACCACTAGCTGTGTGACTCTTAACGATGCTAACAGAGCTAGCAGTTAAGAATGAGAAAGGGGGTTTGGGGCTCAAAATTGAGCTGCTTACTCACCAGGGCGACCTAGGGGGAGACTGGAGGGTGGGCACAATTTTTCCTTAATGCTGTTGGGTCAGGATGGCGTTACAAGCATTAATCGCTGAATAGGAAGTACCACCAGCTAGCTCCCACCAGACATGGGTGGTGTGCAGTGCAGTAAGCTGAAGAGTAGCAAAATCAAGCCACAGGCTGACATGCGTAACCAGTCAAAAATATTCTTGGTGGTTACCCGACTACCAGTTAACTGTTGACATCCCGAGGAGGTTTGAATGTGACAACCCTCCACTTTCCCCTCCTAAAAGCACAGTAGCAAACTTGCCTTTTTGAATTTGAAGAGATTTGGTATCTTAAAAAAATATATCATATATAATGTAAGAATACCAGTCATAGGTTTATTCTCAGCCTTGTTAATAACTATGAGCTTGTTATACAGTCTGAAAGGAAACATCATTTTGAAAGTAGTAGCTCCTCAAGCAGCTGGTGGCTTTGTAGAGGGGAAGTGAACCTCAGGACGGTTAAAAACCACCAACAGACAACATGAAGTCGAGCTGTTTTTTGTGGCACAGTAACCCAGAATCATTTTCATTTGGGTGTTTACTACAGTAACTCTGGATTAGTTTGGATTTTCTCTGATGGGAGAGAGAGAGAGAGAGAGAGAGAGAAATTCAGACAAAGAGAGACAGATATGGGCTGGCTGCGAACACACAGATGCAGCAGAGAAAGTTAGTTAAAAAAAACTGTGTGAATGTGGTTTTAAAAGAATGTGAGTATGTTTATATGAAGCACACACATCTGACAGTGGTTCAGACATGTCGCACTTGTGTGAGTGCTGATGGATGGATCAGCTTCGTCACCATGTTGGCAGCAGCCAACCCAGAGAGTCAGCCCTTCAGTGATAAACACTGCTTAACCTATTTACACCTAACAACAGGCCGGTAAATAACCAGCAGATAACAGCTCATCAGTCAGACTGCAGCACAAGCCACCAGCCTACAGTTGTACAGCTCCTGCTGTATGACTTAATCTACTGTGATGCTGATACAGTATTTCATTGTATTTCCTGCCAAGATGGCTGTTGTCAGTGTTACTAATGAGTGTAATTCACAAGCAAAGCTGTGGTGTGTGACATGCTGACGATGTAATGTGAGGTTTAGAAATGTGTTAATTTGCAAAGGGCTGCAACTTATTATTCATTATTGATATATCTATCACTTTTTAAAAATACATTTTTTTTTCTTAAAGGTCCAGTGTGCAAGATTTAGGGAGGTTTAGTGGAAGCCAGCTGCGAGAACTGCAGATTGCAACCAGCTGTAACTTTCCTTCAGTGTTCATTGTTCAGGAGGGTTTTCACAGGGAGCTGAATTGTCTGCAGAGGTCTCTTCCTCTCCAAAACAAACACCTGTTGATTTCAACCAGTAAAAACACTGAATACAACAGTATTACATTATAAATCAGTGTTTCCCTGAATTTATTTTGCATGTTGGAGACAGGCTGCTAACCTAGTACCTGCTAGTGTGTGCTCACCGTTTTTCTCTGATAACTTAAGATGGAGCTGTTTAGGAGGTTTTCACCTGGGACTGAATTATCCTCAGTGGTCTAATCCTCTCCAAAACAAACAGAAACATGGCGCTGCAACATGGCGATATCTGTAGATGAGGACCTGCTTATTTGGGTTAAACATGAGCATGTTACAGTCCTGGAGGATTATTAATGTGCACCTCCTCCTGTACTGCCTTAATATGCACATTCAGCACATCCAATGCATCAAAACATTGTTTTCTAGTTGGAGCCGCGCCTCGTTTTCAAACTGTATGGTTTGACTAAAATGAACAATGACAGCAATATAGTCCACGATGAGCAGCGCTAAAATCAACCTGCGTAGTTGTCCCTCCATTGTGACATTAGAAAGTGTCACATTTATCTTGCAAGTGTACTCTTCTTCAACGTTTGCTTTACTTCCTGGATTTTTCCCACATGGAAATTT